CCGGATTTGTAATAACATAAGCAACACGACGGGTGCCACATGTGGAGCAGGATCTGCTTACCCTTCCGGAGCACCTGAGATCACCATCAGTTTTTGGTGGGGTTCGTGTTGCTTAGTCTTTAGTTTTCTATGTTGTGTCATCTGTACTATTATTTGTCTGTTTGTCAGTCTTTTTATTTTTGGCCATGGCGTTGTCAGCTTGTTTTCGATCTATGAGTTTGACTGTCCCTCTGGTATCTTTCGTCGCTCTTTTAAAAGGAGAAAGGAAATATTTTTACAAAATAAATAATTTTAAGCTTAGATATGTTCTTTTAAATTTTTAAAGGGAGATAAGATCAATATTTCAAAAGAAGAAAGGGTGTTTCAATGGTTTTAGATTATCTCCCATGGAAACTTTTTGACAACATAATATATTGAATTTACATATATTTTACTGAATATATCATGTTTAAATTCAAACTGATGTCTGATTGTTATGAATATAGAATATAGATTTTTTGTCTCGCCTGACTGTGACGAAAGTCGCAGTTTGCGAGACATAGGTATTACTATCCGGCGGTGGCGTAAAGTATTACTATCCGGCGGTGGCGAAAACCACTTGTATAAAGCTTTATATTTCAGAATACCTGGATGCTTCATATCTTGTATGCAGATACCTTATGTTACACAGTTTCCCTCTGTCATATGTTCATTGTCCTTGACCTCATTTTCATGGTTCAGCGACTGCTTGGAAAAAAAATTGAGTTTTTTGTCAGGTGAATTTCTCACTTATTATGAGTAATAGGATAACTGTATTTGGTATATGGGTTTCTTACAACGTCTACATGTCCATCAGATAGAGTTCACCTGACCTTGACTTCATTTCATGGATCAGTGATCAAGGTAAAAGTTAGGTTAATACTATAAGCAGTAGGTCAACTATATTTGGTTTATGGAATGATTGCATGCTGTACATGTTGTCTGGCATGGTTCATCTGACTTTGACCCCATTTTCATGGTTCATTTTTCAGTTTTTGTATTTAGGTCTGTTTCCTCGGATATAATAAGTGATCAAGGTAAAAGTTAGGTGATTAGGTCCATTTCTCAAATACAATAAGCAGTAGGTCAACTATATTTGGTGTATGGAATGATTGTAATGAGTACATGTAAGTCTGGCAGGTTTCATCTGACCTTGATCTAGTTTTCATGGTTCATTGGTCAATGTTAAGTTTTTGTGTTTTAGTCTGTTTTTCAAGTACCATAAGCAATAGGTCAACTATATTTGGCCGGTGTATGGAATGATTGTAAGATGTACAAGTCTGTCTGGCAAGTATCATCTGACATTGGCCTCACTTTCATGGTTCATTGGTCAATGTTTGGTTTTTGTGTTTTGGTCTGTTTTTCAAATACTAATAGCAATAGGTCAGTTATATTTGGTGTATGGAATAATTGTAAGGTGCACATGTGTGTCTCGCAGGTTACTGGTATAAACTGACCTTGACCTCATGTTCATGGTTCATTGGTCAATGTTAAGTTTTTGTGTTTTGGTCTGTTTTTCAATTAGCATAGGCAATAGGTCAACTATATTTGGTGTATACAAAATTGTAAGATGTATATGTCTGTCTGACTATAATTTGTCTGACCTTGACCTAATTGTCATAGATCTTTAAAAATGTTCAGTTTCTGTAATGCTTTTAGTAAAACCTTTATCTTTAAGACTTTCAACATAAAATCAATAGTCAGTAAAGCAGGCGAGACATTTCAGCATGTGCACTGGTTTTAAATAAAAGTTGTATGAATGTTCAGTGGCATAGTTAATCAATTTGTTGTTATCAATGTTTAGGGGGGTTTGCCATGATTTAGCTTAAGACTGCATGACCAGATGGTTCAGTTACAGAATTTGGCAGACGTTGTCTTTGGTTATAGAATTAGGCAGACGTCTAACGAGTGCTTATGGCAATAGCTCCCTATTTATGTACATTTAGGAAGAATACTTTATATATTTTATGTTAAAAAGACTAATCTATCTGTTTTTTAGGAGTTTGAGTGAGAAAATATTTTGTTACGTCTTTTTAAAACATCCAGTACATTTTATCTAGTTTATTTCAAAATAAAAGTTCTTTCAAAGTTCAAATTCATGTAATATATTTTTTTTTCAAGTTAAAGGGACTTTTATTATATTGGACATGTTATGAGTATGGCTGGGTAGATATTTCGTGACGAAAAAGACTACTTACAACTTTTTTTAAAAATCCTTGGCTTTTTTTTTTAAATTTTATTTCAGAATTATTTACTCATATAAAGCCTTGAAGTACAAATCTAAATATTGTCAACTCCATTTTTATGAAGGTTTTTAAACAACCCATGCAATTTATCTTATTTATTTGTTTTCATTTTCATTTCAGTAAAAAATATGTTCATATAAAGCTGAAAAGTACAAATCTTTAAATACCATGCACTTCACTTATTTCATAAGGAAATCATCAACATTAATATACAAAATACTTTTACCATAGATCTACTATTCCTTGAAATTCAATTTACTAAAAAAAAACATAGGTAGCATATTTATAAACTCTAACAATACAGTATCAAGATTTTTGTTCTTTATTGTTTTTTGTTGTTGTTTTTTTTTTAATAATTTCCATTAGAAAGATAGGTACCTTATACTTAAGGATAATCTAAGGAGTTATCTTAGTTTTATGCATACCACTTAAGTTTTGTGGGTGCGACTTAAACCATCTGAAATTTTACATAGAAAACACTTTTAAGATATTTTATGCATACCACTTAGGTAAAAAGGGAGGAGTGTCCTTAACATAATTAGTTTTATGCATACCAGCCCTGCTGTGCATTTTAAGAGGTATATGTAATATTTTGTCATTATTTCATGTCCATCATCTTTGTTATTTACACTTTTAACATCTTCTAAATGGCTGAGGCAAATGAGACAATACTTACAGAATCCCTTCCAGGGATGTAGCTGCTATTAGGCACTTTGAGCACATGGCTACACATAATTTTTTCAAAAGCATTTTTTTTAATTTAAAAATAAGGACAACTGAAGATCGATGCATGTGAAGTCGTCAAAACTCTTTTAATTAACAAATATCAAATGTGAATTATACACAAGTCTATCATCATTAGTGAATGGAGTATTGGATAGAATTTTATGTACATTATATTCAACCTTATACATAGGTACTAAAAACTAGAACTTTGATTCAGATCAGTTCACTCCTATCAACAAATTGTTGAATTAACCTCAATACTCCGACATTTTATTCTTAGATACATGATTTTTTTTATTAATTGTAATTGGCTTTCAACTAGCTTTCCAATTTGGTCTTCATCTGACTGGCAGTAAACCGTTGACAAAGTGGGGTGTTCGTTTGGCTGTGGTCAGAATGGGGATGTTAAATCCGATGCCTCATGTAGAGAGAATGTCAAGCTCTCTGCACGTTAAGAGACCTTGCAACAACTCTTTGAGGGGTCTGTAGGTGGCCTGCTGCAAGGCAAAATTTCTGTTCCTTTCCAAAATACCCTCGGTTTCAATTGGCTTTCCAAATTTCCCGATCTTCTTCCAGGATGGCTCCTATTACAGGACCTACCTATTGTATTTATTGTAAAATTGTTTTTCGTCCTGAACATACATGAAATACTTGCCACTGTACAAAAAGGGAACAACAATCAATCAATCAATTAATGAACTAGCTTTCAGTTACTGTGAGTACTTTCAGATCTGTACATATTATCATGATAAAATGACCAGTAAATTTTATGGTTCGCAAATTTTGCATCTATTAATGCTGAAAACCGTTTCTGTGGGGGAGGGCTTTGCCCCCTGGACCTGCTGCAATTAGTGCCTCCTGTTCAATTGATACTTGCTCCTAGTCTTCTTAAATGAAATCATTACTTTGCTTATGGTAACAAACTTGACCACCATGGCATAAATAAACCAATATACCAAACATAGAGTGATTGATATAAATAAACCACAAAAAAATTCACACAAGTATACAAAAAATAGTCCACTTCATTTTAACTTGGGTGGATAGTTGTCTCATTGTTAATCATACCACATCTCCTTATTTTTATAAAAAAAATAGGTACTGAACTTAACTAACCACACCAGTATACAAAACAGAATGACTGAACTTAACTAACCACACCAGTATACAAAACAGAATGACTGAACTTAACTAACCACACCCGTATACAAAACAGAGTGACTGAACTTAACTAACCACACCGGTATACAAAACAAAATGACTGAACTTAACTAACCACACCCGTATACAAAACAGAATGACTGAACTTAACTAACCACACCCGTATACAAAACAGAATGACTGAACTTAACTAACCACACCCGTATACAAAACAGAGTGACTGAACTAAACTAACCACACCAGTTTACAAAACAGAATGACTGAACTTAACTAACCACACCAGTATACAAAACAGAATGACTCAACTTAACTAACCACACCAGTATACCAAACAGAATGACCGAACTTAACTAACCACACCAGTATACAAAACAGAATGACTGAACTTAACTAACCACACCAGTATACAAAACAGAATGACCGAACTTAACTAACCACACCAGTATACAAAACAGAATGACCGAACTTAACTAACCACACCAGTATACAAAACAGAATGACTGAACTTAACTAACCACACCAGTATACAAAACAGAATGACTCAACTTAACTAACCACACCAGTATACAAAACAGAATGACTCAACTTAACTAACCACACCAGTATACAAAACAGAATGACTGAACTTAACTAACCACACCAGTATACAAAACAGAATGACTGAATTTAACTAACCACACCATATACAAAACAGAATGACTGAACTTAACTAACCACACCCGTATACAAAACAGAATGACTGAACTTAACTAACCACACCAGTATACAAAACAGAATGACTCAAGTAAATACACTATTTTAATTAACCAATACTTATGCAGAACTGAAGAATAGTATAAAATTAACACATTCTGAGTTCCCACAAAATTTATTATATAAAAATAAATAATTAACAGCATAACAAAAAATTAAAAAATAGTATACTAAAATATTTGTTATCAATATATGTATATATATCAACATGATTGTTAAATTAATGCTAATTGAGAACACACTGGATTTCTAATATCCCTATCTATGTTTCACAGATTTGAAGAATACTGAACAAACTAAAATTACTAAAATACAATTCGTGAAAAATATGTTACAGGAAAAAACACATTGAGATTCAATATTAAGGCAGTTTTTCATTAACTTGGACCCACCTTCAAAACTTCCAAGTCCTACATGGATTGTAGAACACTTTCAAAACAAACTAATATACATTGCATAAGCTCCTGGGTTGTATTTGAGAAAAATTGGTGAGGAATAAATCTAAACAGTAGGTATATTTTTTCACTGAAATAGCAACAACAACAAAATAATTATGGAGAATGCTTTAACAATACACAGTCAAATTATAGCTTACATTTTCCCCTTAAAAGTGAAAATATTTAACTCTTCCCTCATATAACAAAAGGTCAAGTGTTTCAAAGTTGACTGAAATACTGATACAGTCCCTATTTTGTAAATCAATTGTTCTCGGTGGTACTTGTGCGATTCTGTCAGTGATATGACATGTTTTTGCTCAAAGCTAAAATGACATAGCTCAAGTAAAATATAAGTTAATCAAACATTGTACAAATGAAATAAATCTCAATTGATAATCTCATGCCAAATTTACTTTTACATAAAAATTAAATTAAATAAATGTGTCCAAATACAAAATTCAATAGCTATGCAAAAATGAAAATAAACTTTTCTGTCTATTGCACATGCCCACTGACAATAATGGATATGTATTCCAGGAGATAATCATTCTGTATACAAAACAGTTTGCTAATTATTATGCTGTGCACCTTCAAATTCTGGGGCTGACATTGCATATCATTTAATGCTTTTGAATTTTGGCAGGCTAAGAATATTTGACTGTTTACACTGTTACAAATAAGACCATACACTCATTTTTCTCTGGTGAATATAAAAATCAAATGTTGCATAACAAAAACAAAAACAAAATTATAGAAAACTGTCAAAATCTTAACAATACTTGTGCATGTTTTCATAAATAAACTGCACATTATTTCAACAAAAACAAAACGAATAAAAGTCTTAAAAGTATAAAGCATAGCATATATTTTTTTTTTGCAATATCGTCACAACTTCATTTAAAAATGAATTACCTTGTAAATTTAACAATAAATTATCTTCACAAACATGATTTTTAACCCTTGGCCTTTAAACTATACACTAAGAAGCATCTTAACTTCTTTAAAAAATAATCCCACATTATAATACACAGTCATTATAGCCTTCTTTATGCATAGGATTTATTGCATATAACAGTTATTTGTATCTCATACATTGACCTTTGAATCCCACTTTTTATGTTATACAGTAGCTGGTGATTTCTGTTCTATCTCTGGTTTTTCAACAATGATTTCTTTTGATTTGTCTATCTTTCTAAAAGTCACATAACTGTAAATCAGACTGCCTAATACACTGAAACAAAAAGAAACTTATCAGTACAAGATATATACAGTAGTCTATTTATAACTATGTTCCTATGTCACCCACTGTTGCACATCTGCTAAAGGGCAATTACTCATCAACAAAATTTGTTGGTTCTTTTAACTTTTTCATAAATATTCCACAAGAAATAATGACAAAAGGTTGCTGACAATATTATTTTTAATATAGAAATTAATACACATGTTAATAAAGCAACCATTAGTCTGGATAAAAATTGGTCCTATGCATAAAAAAAACAGAACTGAATCATCAAATTTTGTTATCATATCTTTTTATCAGTAATTAAAAGTTATAAGAGTGAAAAAGCTGAAATGTCTCACCTGCTTTAATAATCATGATTGAATTTAAAGTCCTAAAAATAAGGTTTTATTACAGGTATCACATAAACTAACATTATCAATGATCCATGAAAATGAGGTTAAGGTCAGATGAAGCCTGCCAGACAGACATGCACACCTTACAATTTTTTCATACACCAAATATAGCTGACCTATTGCTGAGAAATTATTTGAACTAAGACAACCTAACATTGACCAATGATCCATGAAAACGAGTTTGATGTTAGATGAACAGTGCCAACTAGGACATCATTCCATACACCAAATATAGTTGACCTAATACCAATAGTATCTTTAATAAATGAAGAATGTGTCCATGGGACACAGATGCCCCCACTTGTAGAAAACCGGCAAATTCTGCATTTTTTCAACTTACAAAGGGACATAACTCAAGAACTGCAAAAGTGATGCCACCAAAGTTTGAGTTGATCTGTGTTTGGTGGTAATAAGCATTGTGTATGAGTTTCATAACATTTGGTTGAGGGAAACTAAAGATAGGCAGGGACTGCTCTGGCTCCAAAAAAGTTGGAGCCAGAAAAAATCGCCAGCTGCTATAATTTGTTGCAGTTTTGAAATCTTGGAGCCAACTTTAAAGCCAGCGAGAGTCTTGATTTCCTCTACCAATATTGAAACCATGTTCAATATAAATTTCTTATGCACTGTAGGATGATTATACACAGTAGAAGTGACTATGATCAATGGCGGCTGGTTTTCTTATTTTCGTATCAAAATTGAGGGCAGGCAAAGACAAATTACGTCTGAATTTACCATTTTTTTTGCAGAATGCAAGTAAAACAATTTTTTTTAACAAGTTTATTATGGTTTTCGTCTGTCTGTCAATTACGTTTTAATCGTGAAACTACGGTAAACGTTGAAAATTGTGCTGCCATATGAATTTCTTCAATACGAAATGACAATTGCCAACCGACCGATTCTATTTGAATGAATTAATGTTGATGATCATAAATGATCCATCAGATAAGCAGATTACCTGTAACAACAGATTATGAAGCCTGTTGTAACTGTTGATTAGCTTTGGATCGTAAACAAAGTCATAAACTTGTCGCCAGGTAAAATTTCTTACTATTTATTTTTTTACTTTTACCAATTTACGATCGATAATACTACTGTTACAGTCAAGAAATGAAAATTTTGACATGGGAAAATGTTGGTGCCAGAAATATTGCCAGCAGCCGTATTTTTTCGCCAGATATAAAAAATCGCAATTTGCAACATTAGCGAAGCCCAGCGCGGTCCCTGGTTAGGGTGCAGAAACAGCAAATTTAGCAATTTTTCAATTTATAAAGGGACATAAATTGAGATCAAAGAAAGTGAAGCCACCCAAATTCGACCTTGATCTGTGTTTGGTGGTAATAAACATTGTATATAAGTTTCATAACATTTGGTTGAGGCTAACTAATTAAAGTGGAAAGAGCAAATTTAGCAATTTTACCACTTATAAACGGACATAACTCAAGAACAGTAAAAGTGACGCCACCTTAATTAAAATTTGATCTGTGTTTGGTGGTAATCAGCATTCTGTATAAGTTTCTAAACATTTGGTAGAGGCAAACTAAAGTTAGAGAAAGTTAACTAATTTTAGGACGTAAAGACATATGGACAGACATACGGACATACATATGGACAAGGGTAAAACTTAATTGCCCCTCCGCTGCAGCGGGGGCATAAAAATAGCCCTAACCAGGAACTTAATGTTGATCTATGAACCATTACATTGAGGTAAAGGTCAGATGATCCCTGATATGTGGACACCTTATGACCATTCCATACACCAAATACAATGACATATTGCTTTTAATATCTTAGAAATGGACCTAACCATGAAAAACGTAATGTTGATCACTGATCCATATAATGAGGTCATTGTTAGGTGAACACTGTCTGACTGACATAAATATCTTACAATAACTCTATATACCAAATAAATTTGTCCTATAATGTATAATAAATGAAAAACAACCCCATGATAAACAAACAGTTTTTTCAATCAGTGGCTGAACTCTGAAAATGAGGTCAAGGGCAACAGACATATGCCGGAGTGAAACTTCAGAACATAAGGCCTCTGTATACAAGATATGAACTATCCATGTCTTCTTTTTCAAATATAAAGCTTACACAAATAGTTTACCCCTTTGACACTGGATTATCATCTTTATGTCATGCATTCTGACACATAAAAAATCCCCAAGGACAACCGAGTACACAAATTATACCTGTTTAACTTACCTTATGTTAATGCCAGTAAAATTAATCCAACTAAAATTATAATCTCCGCCAAGAAACATTCCAATATATGTGACAAACAAGTTCTGAAAAACACAAATAATTCTTATTTTTTAAGAAGAAAATGTATGGGGGATTGGTTTGATCATCTTACCACCTTCCTCCTACATGCAATAAGAAATTCCTTCTAAAACGTCACTTGGAATTTACTTCAGACTTGAGGTAGTGAAAACCTATTTTCCACTGGATAAACTACAGTACTTTAACTTCAAATAACTTTATTTATTAAAGAAAGGTATATATAGAATATATTACTGGTTACTTCCCATTATTACCCCCTATAGTTTTCTCCTATCCATCACTCTATTATACTATCTTATTATTACCCCCTATAGTTTTCTCCTGTCCATCACTCTGTTATACTATCTTATTATTACCCCCTATAGTTTTCTCCTGTCCATCACTCTATTATACTATCTTATTATTACCCCCTATAGTTTTCTCCTGTCCATCACTCTATTATAATATCTTATAATTACCCCCTATAGTTTTCTCCTGTCCATCACTCTATTATACTATCTTATAATTACCCCCAATAGTTTTCTCCTGTCCATCACTCTATCATACTATCTTATTATTACCCCCTATAGTTTTCTCCTGTCCATCACTCTATCATACTATCTTATTATTACCCCCTATAGTTTTCTCCTGTCCATCACTCTATCATACTATCTTATTATTACCCCCTATAGTTTTCTCCTGTCCATCACTCTATTATACTATCTTATTATTACCCCCTATAGTTTTCTCCTGTCCATCACTCTATTATACTATCTTATTATTACCCCCTATAGTTTTCTCCTGTCCATCACTCTATTATACTATCTTATTATTACCCCCTATAGTTTTCTCCTGTCCATCACTCTATTTATACTATCTTATTATTACCCCCTATAGTTTTCTCCTGTCCATCACTCTATTATACTATCTTATTATTACCCCCTATAGTTTTCTCCTGTCCATCACTCTATCATACTATCTTATTATTACCCCCTATAGTTTTCTCCTGTCCATCACTCTATTATACTATCTTATTATTACCCCCTATAGTTTTCTCCTGTCCATCACTCTATTTATACTATCTTATTATTACCCCCTATAGTTTTCTCCTGTCCATCACTCTATTATACTATCTTATTATTACCCCCTATAGTTTTCTCCTGTCCATCACTCTATTATACTATCTTAATATTACCCCCTATAGTTTTCTCCTGTCCATCACTCTATCATACTATCTTATTATTACCCCCTATAGTTTTCTCCTGTCCATCACTCTATCATACTATCTTATTATTACCCCCTATAGTTTTCTCCTGTCCATCACTCTATTATACTATCTTATTATTACCCCCTATAGTTTTCTCCTGTCCATCACTCTATTATACTATCTTATTATTACCCCCTATAGTTTTCTCCTGTCCATCACTCTATTATACTATCTTATTATTACCCCCTATACTTTTCTCCTGTCCATCACTCTATTATACTATCTTATTATTACCCCCTATAGTTTTCTCCTGTCCATCACTCTATTATACTATCTTATTATTACCCCCTATAGTTTTCTCCTGTCCATCACTCTATCATACTATCTTATTATTACCCCCTATAGTTTTCTCCTGTCCATCACTCTATTATACTATCTTATTATTACCCCCTATAGTTTTCTCCTGTCCATCACTCTATTATACTATCTTATTATTACCCCCTATAGTTTTCTCCTGTCCATCACTCTATTATACTATCTTCCATTATGTCTAAATGTTTATGTGATAGTCTTTAATCCATAAGAATTCTAAGAACACGGTCTTAACCTCCATTAAATTTTTTCTTGGCCATTCCAAGAACATTCGAATCAATAATGTTCCAAAATCAGAATACTTTGCAAACAATGTCATGTTTGTACAGAGTAAGCCATCTAAAGTTTGAAGCTATTCCTTTTTCTGAGGTGACCCTTTTTTTAATATAAGTTGGCAGGGTATGAAACTTTTTCTGTAATAAGTTATTAATACACTTACCTTAAGGACTCCCACAATGTTAGTTGTTAGAGCAGAATTATGTTGAGTGCACAAGACTATTGAGTAATTCAGTATAAATCCCATAAAACATGACAACAAGAATTGGGTCAAAAATCCAAAGGTCAGCCAATCCTCAAACTTCATTGCCTGAAATATAGTCAAATACAAGTTTGTGGTTTGAATGATTATCTTCTTTAATCGTTCACATTTTATTCTAATTCAAAATTTAAAAAAAAAGAATGTGTTGATGGATATGAATGCTTTCATGTAACAGACAACTAAGGCAAAATTTTTTTAGCTTACTATGTGGTATGGGTTTTTTCATTGTTGCAAGCTGTACAGTGACCTATAGTTGCTAACTTCCAGTAACAGATGACAAAGTAAGGCAAACTTAACCATTCATAAATTGGAAAAATTAAAGAACCTTAGTGAGCGCGCTCACATACCCCACGTCCCCACATTGTCATTGGAGAAATAAAATATGTGTAAGAAAAAAAAATTGTATAAGAAAAAAAAATTGAATCATAATTTCCTGTCAATATGCACATGTACATAGTATGTCCTTATTATCTACAAAGTTTTATGAAATTATGTTGTGTGGTTTCAGAGGAGTTGCGATGACAAACTGTTGCATAAGTACATTGAAGCAAATAAGTTCAAAGGGGCGTAACTCCTAGAAAAAAAATTGAATCATAATTTCCTGTCGATATGCACATCTACATAGTATGTCCTTATTATCTACAAAGTTTCATGAAATTCTGTTGTGTGGTATCAGAGGAGTTGCGATGACAAACTGTTGCAGAAGTACATTGAAGCAAATAAGTTCAAAGGGGCGTAACTCCTAGAAAAAAAATTGAACCGTAATTTCCTGTCCATATGCAAATCTACATAGTATGTCCTTATTATCTAAAAAGGTTTCATGAAATTCTGTTGTGTGGTATCAGAGGAGTTGCGATGACAAACTGTTGCAGTAGTATATTGAAGCAAATAAGTTCAAAGGGGCGTAACTCCTAGAAAAAAATTGAACCGTAATTTCCTGTCGATATGCACATCTACATAGTATGTCCTTATTATCTAAATAGGTTTCATGAAATTCTGTTGTGTGGTATCAGAGGAGTTGCGATGACAAACTGTTGCAGTAGTAAATTGAAGCAAAGAAGTTCAAAGGGGTGTAACTCCTTGAAAAAAAATTGAACCGTAATTTCCTGTCAATATGCACATCTACATAGTATGTCCTTATTATCTAAAAGGTTTCATGAAATTCTGTTGAGTGGTATCAGAGGAGTTACGATGACAAACTGTTGCAGTAGTACATTGAAGCCAATAAGTTAAAAGGGGCGTAACTCCTAGAAAAAAAATTGAATCGCAATTTCCTGTCGATATGCACAACTACATAGTATGTCCTTATTATCTAAAAAGGTTTCGTGAAATTCTGTTGTGTGGTTTGAGAGGAGTTGAGATGACAAGAAACAGGACTGACGGACTGACGGACGGACGGGTCAAAAACATTATACCCTCCGCAACTCGTTGCGTGGGGTATAATTATTGTGAACCAAACGAATCTTTTACACAGAAATCAACTTTTTATGATTAAATCAGTCTTTATATTGAACAGATTGAAAATATATTATTGATATTGAATATACAACATCACATGCAGTTTTGTGAGTTGAAACATTTATTTTCTTTTATCAAGAAGATAATTTTTTTACTCAGGTAAATTAATCAATGAGTGATGGATATCTTTTAGAAGAAATTTTAAGTTCTCATTGAATGAAAGAACCTTAGTGAGCGCGCTCACATACCCCACGTCCCCACATTGTCATTGGAGAAATAAAATAAGTGTAAGAAAAAAAAATTGTATAAGAAAAAAAAATTGAATCATAATTTCCTGTCAATATGCACATGTACATAGTATGTCCTTATTATCTACAAAGTTTCATGAAATTATGTTGTGTGGTTTCAGAGGAGTTGCGATGACAAAAGGTTGCAATAGTATATTGGGCAAATAAGTTCAAAGGGGCGTAACTCCTGGAAAAAAAATTGAATCGTAATTTCCTGTCGATATGCACATCTACGTAGTATGTCCTTATTATCTGAAAAGGTTTCATGAAATTCTGTTGTGTGGTTTGAGAGGAGTTGCAATGACAAAAGGTTGCAGTAGTATATTGGGCAAATAAGTTCAAAGGGGCGTAACTCCTGGAAAAAAAATTGAATCGTAATTTCCTGTCGATATGCACATCTACGTAGTATGTCCTTATTATCTGAAAAGGTTTCATGAAATTCTGTTGTGTGGTTTGAGAGGAGTTGCGATGACAAAAGGTTGCAGTAGTATATTGGGCAAATAAGTTCAAAGGGAGTAACTCCTGGAAAAAATTGAATTGTAATTTCCTGTCGATATGCACATCTACGTAGTATGTCCTTATTATCTGAAAAGGTTTCATGAAATTCTGTCGTGTGGTTTGAGAAGAGTTGCGATGACAAACTGTTGCAGTAGTACATTAAAGTAAATAAGTTCAAAGGGGCGTAACTCCTAGAAAAAGAATTGAATCGTAATTTCCTGTCGATATGCACAACTACATAGTATGTCCTTATTATCTAAAAAGGTTTCGTGAAATTCTGTTGTGTGGTTTGAGAGGAGTTGCGATGACAAGAAACAGGACTCACGGACTGACGGACGAACAGACAGACGGACGGACGGGTCAAAAACATTATACCCTCCGCAACTCGTTGCGTGGGGTATAACAACATAATGGTCATAATGAAGCTCAGCTTCAGTTAGTAGTATCCATTATTATGATTTAATTAAATGATGTTCAAAGTCAGGAAAATTCAAATTTGGTTATTTACTCAAGTTTTATAACAAGGGAACAGCAAAAAGTGGAAATCATGCAACTTAACATCATTTCAAAATTTTATATAATTCATGATAAAAAAATTAAAGTGAATTACTGGAAACAGAAATGTATATTTGTTACTTATACTTATATAACAAATATTCAGCAAATCAATTCAAGTCTTAATGCAAAGGCTAAAATTTTAGATTAGGGCTCGGAAAAAACATCGATCAAATTTTATTATTGACATTTTTTACTGTTAACAACCAAAGACTAGTTAAATGAAAGGGAATTCTCTTTGTCACAGAGTACTGAGAGAAGATTATATTTCCCCATGTTTGTAGGTTACAATGCTGACTGGTAAAATGATAAAATAAAGTAAAGTAATTACCTTATCTATTTCTCCCATAGAGAAAGCTAATATGCTGATTGGAACAATCATAAACAATGAATTGTAAAACAACAGTCCATACTTTCCTAAATCCTGAAATATTGAATGGAATAACAGTTAAATATCTGGCAATACATACAAGATGCTGCTGTTTTTAGATAAATCATAAAAATATTTACCTTTGAGGTTACTCTTATAGTTACTGTTAACCTCTTCTAAAATAAATGAAGCTATGATTGACCACAAAGAGTAAATGTAAGAAAAGAAAAAAAAGAAAAGAAAAGGAAAACAAGCAAAAGATTGAAATAAAATAAATTGTGATTTGTCATAAAATACACTAAATATCATTTTGAGAATAAAAATTCAAATATGAAATATAACTCGATCTATTCATTAAATTATAACATTTTACTGTCAAATTTTCATGAATTTTACATCATGCAAAAATAAAACACATTTATTAAAAAGCTTATTCACCTTTAAAGACATACTAACTAGCAAGCTAAAAAAGAAGTTCTTCTAGCTTTCAAGGGTAAAAGGTCAGAACTATATCTATGTATCATATAAGTTCATCAGAAAGTGTTTCATCTATGTATCATGTAAGTTTCTCGAAAAGCTATTCACATTACTTTCCTATTTCTATTTTTTTTTTATTTCACACTGTTTGTTTTAAACTGCTAATTGTGTGTTATTCTAAAATTGATGTAAATTTAGGATTATTTGGTCAACTCCAAATCCATCAAAATGTAAGCATCGAAAAGTACAACAAAAAATATAATTGGAACACTCAACTTGCTTCCAATTAAAAGTATTGCCACAGCTTATAATTTACAGTTCCTTATTTTATAATACACTTACAAAGTATTTATGAAATAGATGGACATTGACCTTAATTGAAAAATAGGAAAGCTTGGATAGATTTTTAACCTTTTTCACCAAAATTACCTTTCCCATGTAGATCAAATATACCTGTACCAGGTTTCACTGCATCAATAATGGGTATTCAGTCAAATCTAAAGCTGGACTAATGTATATACATAAAGATTTGGTTATACCTGTATCATTAGAACTGTTTATAGAATGTTGTGCTTGAGGATGGTGATACTTCAGGTAACATTTAACATCATATTATTCACATTTTTGACATAAAAAAATAATTCACTAAATGAAATTTTTCATAATATTTTAAATCAAACAAATTAACAATGACATAACATGTTTTACTGATTCGTTAATTTCAAGGAAATGATCATTTAAATTCACATTTTTGGCATAAAAAAATAATTCACTAATTTAAGGAAATGATCATTTAATTTGTACTGCACTGTTCTAGAAAGTTTATGACAGTATTTTAATATGTCTCATCCCAATATTGAACACCATATTATACTGTATAACATATAAAGATATGAGAATAATACAGATATCTATGTATTATCAAAGAATGTAACTAGAGAAGTAAGGGACTGACATATTTCATACAATGTTCTACCTAGAATATAACGGCAGAGGGGCACAGATTTATGATAAAAGGCACTCAAGCTGCAGTTTGTTGTTGAAAAGGGTACAACTTGATCATGTTTTAGATCAAAAATGTCTTTTGGTTGAATTTATAATACTTTGGTAAAAAGCTTTTTCCAGTAGTTCTAATGATTTTTTTGCACCAAATGTACTACTTTTTCTTCAGAAAACAAAAAATGCATAGGGCAGGACCTAAAGAGCAAAGGGTGCATAGTAGAGGCAGAGTTAGTACAGATAGGAAAGAGGCTGTGCCCCTCTATTTTTTGGCTAGCTAGGAAACTGTCATAATTTTATAAGAAATGTGTTTGGTACACAGAAACATCTTGCAAGGGAAAGTAAGTAAAATGGATAATGAGTTCAGGTATTATCTGGTCTGCATGCAGATTGTAACAAAATCATTTGAAACAAATGAATAAAATTTGATTTAAAAATTATATAATTCATTCCAGTGCTAACATGACATAGACAGAAACATCAAAACTGAGGGAGAAAAAAACCAAAGCATGGCAAATTCTTTCCTTACAGTCTTATTTTTAATTGACTTTAAATTTTCTAGCATTTAAACATTCTGAAATACTCACTCTCCTGCTCTGAAATATTCCATAAATGTATCATTAAATTTTTAAAAGAAATTTCTCAGTTGTATCTCTATTTTTCTCTCCATGAATTCAATTCATAACTAGAAAGTAAAATTGACATGGCATTCAAAGGTTGGTTCTCCTTAACAAGCACCACTGACTTACAAAATAGAAATTATGGGAAGATATACCTTAAGGTGTCTTACTAAAAAAAATACACAAATACTCAAATCTTAAAAGTCGTGTATGCTTCTACCATGTTAAAAATATATAAAAAAAAAGAGAGGTGGAATGTACCAAGGCGACATTTAAAACTCACAAGTCTAAGAAAAACTGACAACAGCAAAAAACTGAATAACGGAATTTGTTCACAAAACTAAAAACTGAGCAACACAAACCCCACATTAAACATTTTTTTTAGAAAGGAAACAAGACATAGAGACAGACTTTAAGGCAACCAGATAAAGCAGTTGTTAGATACCCGAGTTATTAGAAGCTTCTGAATTTTTTAATAAGCCACAACTATAAATGTCTTAAGAGTGCATAGATATATCAGAAAACAGAAAAAACTATTACAATGCAAACTATTTGTTTCTGGAAATCAGAGATGATTTGAAATACTTTTAATTTCAGGTCAACTTCGCCCCAAATTGTGCCTTGTCCCTTCAGATGAAATATTGATGCTGAAGTGGTATATTTGTATTTGCAGACGGCAATGCTTTTGATGTGTACTAGTAATTGTGAAATTGAAAAATTTACTTCAAGTATTTGTGTACCAGTTATAACAGTGAAAACCAACCACTATTTAAATTGAAAATTTCCAAACTAAAGTAATCATTCAGAAAGCATTTGTTTCAAACATATACACTAATCTGTGGTTGCATGTCTCTCCCAAATTTTTTGTGAACATAAAACAATATCTATATGAAAAGACTTTCACAAGCTATAAAAACTAAGAGAAGTAGATATAAGTAGAAAATGTATAAATCAACTCATATTTATATATTTACCTTAGCTTCTAATTTCTGTTTTGTATAGACACCATTAGCAGATGTGCATAAATCATTTAATATTATAAACACATATCCAACAAGGTCAAAAGCTAGGTCATTACTGAAACAGAAATAAGGAAATTTGTTAAGAAAAAAATGCATCTTTCTAAACCAAAGAACCTTTTATTTATACCATATTATTTCTTTTTTAAAGCTATTAATTCAAAGTTAATCTATTTCAACTTTTTATTTTGCATATTTCAAATTTTAATGTTTTATTTGTTTTCTTTACATTTTGACTTTGATCATAGTAATATTCACTTATGAAATGTGTTTATTTTTTCTCTACATACACATGCTAAACTTATGGGTGACTTTCAATCAATGAAAATACACATACAATATCTCAGAAATGTTGATTATATTTTATTTAAGATTTGACAAAAGACAATCACTGAAGAGGTTCCTGACTTGGGACAGGTGCTAAACATTTAGTGGGGTTAAACCAGGGGCTGCACTGGTCTCCTATATTTGATGAAAAATTTACTAGGTATTTTCATCATTAAAAGATCCCTGCAGGAAAATTTACACTTCTTGGTGTCACAGTAATATCTATCTAGACAAGATGTAAAAGGAAAGAGGTGTGACTTCATGATCAAGGCTATAAATTGGGGTTGTTTAGCTAAGTTATAAAAGTGCAACCAAACAATATCTGTATGATTGTTCGTGTAAGGTAGAATGATGGAGTACGAGATAATTTAGTATATGTATTCCTTGGTATAAGTTATAGTGTTGTGAAAATATACATCGTTTTCATGTTTAGTGTTACCAGGTATTAAGGTCTACTTGACAGAAATGAAATTAACACCCACAGAAATACAATATATTTGAAATAGAACTGCGTGAATACTGTAAATATTTTTCTTCTGTCTTGTGTGCAATAATGACTGCAGTATGAAAATATGTGGAACTAAAAGTATGAATACATTCATTAACTGGCTTACCTAGCTGCCACCAGTGCACCAAAGATCATTAAGAATACAGTCATCTGAATTGTTCTTGATGCTTTTACACTGAAAATAGTCAAATCAGAAGAGTAAGTTACAACAGCCTGCCTGGTGCTTCTGGAAAGTTACATACTATATGTATAAGAAAGCATGCCAACAAATATAAGTTCACCAAGCTATACCAATGGCACCAAAATCAAAATGCAAAAGACCTTTTTGCTGCTAAGACAGAGTCCAGAAAACAATGTTTTAATTTTCTACATTTACAAATATTTGATTAGCATCCTAAATCACACTAAAGAAAAATCTATCTAATTTTTTTTTAATTCATTTTTAATTTTTTCAGGAGCAAGCAATTCATTTTTCGTATTGAAATTCCTGATTATTTTTTAACAAAGAAGCTAAATTTCTTATGGAAACTGGTTGATAATTTATAAAATTAACCTTTTAAAAAATATTCTAATATTTTTTTTAGGTTCTAGCAAATCCTAGGAAGAGAAAATTAATTTATTCAGGAATATCTCTATACACAGTTGATATGCATTAAATTGTACGAGTCTAAAAGATATATATTGTATATCTAAGTTATTCATGTTATTCAGAGCTTAAAAATATGAAAGACCCAGTTAATAGCTCTTAAAAAGATTTGTATTTGTTAAATTTAAGAACTTTGGCCTTTGCTGGCTGAAGTTAGAACATGTTCTCCTATTCCAGTATTCATACATTTTATTGTAACAATTAGCAAATCTCCTGTGACAGTATAAGACTAGCCAAAAATGATGTATAATCTTATATTTAGTTATGGTGTATTTATTCTTGAGATAATGTGTACAGTGATTTTGAGTCATGATTTCTAAAAATAATATAAAAGAATAAAAGACATGAAAATTTGTGATACAGGTTATGTATGGTGAAACTGATGAAAGAATTACCTACCCTTAAATGTTATTATCTTCCAGTATATTTTGGGATTAAAGATTACTTACTCCAAGACATAATATTCTGAAACCATACTGTACATAAATGTGAACATCACTTACCCTAAGACATAATATTCTGAAACCATACTGTACATAAACGTGAACATCACTTACCCCAAGACATAATATTCTGCAATCATAGTGAACAGTATGGTAAATCTTCTGAGTATTATGAACATAGGTAAGCTGAAAAAAGTAAAAGTCAAATAAGTGACAGTAATACCCACAAATAACAACTTATGGGAATAAAAAGTAAATTTTAATGTGGCTGTAACATGATTTCAATAATTTCAAGCTGTGACCTTGACCTGTCAGATGTGGTATTGAGTCTTATTGTGATGACTAAAGAATCTAAAACGTATTACTTGGTCTAAATAAGTCATAAAATGGCTCAGAAATAATGACCTCCACCTTGAAGACATGACATTGAATGAAGGTCATGATACATAATTAATTGATTGTTGGTGTTTAATGACAATTTCAGCATTATAGGCTATTTTATGGCGATCAGTTTTTATTGGTAGAGGAAGACAGAGAGAACCATGGACTTTTGGCAGGAAAATCTTGATACATGCATATAGTCTTGTCGTCGTTTCAAGACATGAATCAGCTTTGACTGTTATCTTTATTTGTGACATTTGGTCAAGGTCAAGATACATTCTTGTGTCAAGGGCAATAACTGTGAAATATCCTTAAGGTTTAAACAAGCAGTCAAAAGATATGACCTAGTCCAAATTGCAATACATTATTTAGTTATCACACTAACTTTCAAGATGAAGGAGTGAGACCAATGGTAACCATGGAAATAAGATATGCAAATATCACTTACTTATCATTAGTGGTTCACCTTTAAACTGTCATAATCACAAACTTAAGCATGTAAACTATACAAGTCTCAATATCAATTGACTATGACTGAGGGAGTGGGTAAAAAATCTCCATTGAAAGGAGATGAACCAATGTAAAACAATTGCTTAACAAATATCATCTTCTTAACCTTAAAATAAACCTAATCAAACTTTCAAATGTAGACTAAGCAAAAGTTTCATAGTTAATAAACCATGACCGAGGAGTCTATGGCAAATAATCTCCATGGAATGAGATGTGCCAATCTTTATACAACTGCATACTAAATATCATTGACTTATCATCAGCAGTTATCCTTGAACTGACCTAATCACTCACTTAAACAATTGTTGACACTCCCAACCACTGACACAGGAATCAGCACACCTACATAGGTCTTGCATAAACAACTTTGTGAGACAAAAATCTAACATTAGGTTTGACCTTGTTATCCACTTTGCATAGACATATATATAATTGATTTTGTTTTAATGTGTGATTCCATTCATAGCAAGAAATAAGTGTGCATGAGGTACTCCCTGAAAGAATTTGTTTTCTATATTCAAAAATATACTAACTTTAACTTTTGGGTTCCACCTAAACCCAGCACCAGATTTCCAAGGAAAAATAAAGGCAAAGGCCATATCTGAAAATAAAAAATAATAGATGTCTTTCTTCCTGTTTATTTCTTTATGCAAAGTTTTTGTTAAATGACTAATACACTTAAAGCAGTATAAAAATTATGTCAGTAGTCAAAATAAGTAATTCTTCTAAGCAGTGAAACAAATACAAGTTATTTCCCTTTGTTAAGACTGCATTCCTTTAGATTTTCTGTATTAATCTTTCGTATTGCACTATAAATGTGATTGGTACTGTATTAATTATCAGTGATTTGGTGGTTCTAAATTTAGATTACTAGTACGGTAGTTATAACACAAGATATTTGCATTTTTCAAGTCTGATGAATGTTCTTTTTTTAACTTTTTTAAAAGGAAATATTCAACTGGTTTAGTAAAAAAATCATAATATATTGTACAACCACATCTTCCTATACCTTTGAGGTCAAATATACTGCCAATCCTTAAAAGAACAGGTTTGATAAGGCCCAAATATGGTCCTGATTTCTAGCTAAAATTTCAAAATAGGATTTATTGGTCATTATCACAATGTATCATACTTAAAACCATGACTTAATATTATTCATGTCTTCATGCATGCTCAGGACAAGAACCAATTTGGTAAATGGACTTAAAAAAAATTCGTAAGGGTTCTGCGGAACCCAGTGTCTCGCCTACTTTTGCTGTTAATCGCAGGCTCAACAAAAATGAGGAAAAAAATTAATAAAAATATTCCTCTCTATACTATCTTTTGATTGTAAGTAGCTTCTGTCCAAGTTTGGTAAAAATCCAGGATAGTTTATGAATCTAATAAATGTTTTAAAAACTTAAACTGCAGACTGTATGTAATGTTAACTGGAAGAAAAACAAAGTCCATTTATAAGAAAAATACGGAAAAAATCGAACAAAATTTTAACAAAATTTTCTTCTAGATACTAGCTTTTAATCATAAACAAGCTTCTGTCCAAGTTTGGTACAAATCCAGGATAGTTTAAGAAAGTTGTCAAAATTTTAAAAACTTTAACCACAGAGTGAATGTAATGTTAACTGGCAGAAAAACTAAGTCCAATTATAAGTAAAATATGGGAAAAAAATGGATTTTTTTTTTTACAAAATTTACTTCTGGATACTATCTTATGATCATAAGCAAGCTTCTTTCCAAGTTTGGTAGAAATCCAGGATAGTTTAAGAAAGTTATTAAAATTTCAAAAACTTTAACCACAGAGTGAATGTAATGTTTCTTGGCAGAAAAACTAAGTCCATTTATAAGTAAAATACGGAAAAAATGGAATTTTTTTTTTACAAAATTTACTTTTGAATATTATCTTATGATCATAAACAAGCTTCTGTCCAAGTTTGGTAGAAATCCAGGTTAGTTTAAGAAAGTTATTAAAATTTCAAAAACTTTAACCACAGAGTGAATATTTGTGGACGCCGCCGATGACAATGTAGGATCGCTATGTCTCGCTTTTTCGACAAAAGTCGAAGGCTCGACAAAAAGTCAAGAAAGTTTGATTGCTACTGCTAATGATGGCATGTTGGGTAAGGTTTAAAAATGTGCCTTGCAACAGGTCACCTACTCCTTGTGAGGATCTGTAGTTATTCAATTTCCCACCTTTTGGTAAAAGGTAAATTTTTGTCTTACTGGTATCTTCTTAAATTTCACTGAGGAATTGAATCTATGATTTTCTTAATCAATATAAGTGGTGTGTACAATGCTTACTAAAAGTTACATTTCCTTTGTGTTATGTTCAGAAAGTTTACACACTTTGTATTTACCTTTCTAAATATGTCTGTACTGAAACCTGGGAAATCTACAATACTTAGTTGCCTAGCAAAAAATAACACAACAATGCCTGTCACCATCTGTTAAAAAGAATAATACATTATACAAAAAGTACAATTAAATATCTGTTTAAAATATAATATATTGTACAAAAAATCTTATTGATTCTCCCCTCCCCAAGTCAGATCTGTTAAATTGTGTTAATATTTCTGCTTGCCATAGCCAATTCATCTATGAAAATTTTGATTGAAAGGTTGTTTTTTTCATCTAAACTTAAAATCAATAAAAAGATTATTTATTTTTAGGCATGTTATTCAGGCTATCACAGAAAAGCAATTTTAATAAATGTAGTTGTTTACAATTTCTTTATTTTGTTTCATGTTTCAACATTTTAAAATTAATACTACTTTTTATTCTACATGTACTCGCAACAGATTTCATTTTTTTTTTCAAATGTTGATAAGAAATGTACAATTTAACACACATATTGTATAGACAAATGTCTAGTATTGCTGAGGACCAATCAATATTATTAACCTCTAGATGTCTTTTGCTTTTTAGTGTCGTACTTGCAACAGATTTCATTTTTTTTCAAATGTTAAGAAATGTACAATTTAACACACATATTGTATAGACAAATGTCTAGTATTGCTGAGGACCAATCAATATTATTAACCTCTAGATGTCTTTTGCTTTTTAGTGTCGTACTCGCAACAGATTTCATTTTTTTTCAAATGTTAAGAAATGTACAATTTAACACACATATTGTATAGACAAATGTCTAGTATTGCTGAGGACCAATCAATATTATTAACCTCTAGATGTCTTTTGCTTTTTAGTGTCGTACTCGCAACAGATTTCATTTTTTTTCAAATGTTAAGAAATGTACAATTTAACACACATATTGTATAGACAAATGTCTAGTATTGCTGAGGACCAATCAATATTATTAACCTCTAGATGTCTTTTGCTTTTTAGTGTCGTACTCGCAACAGATTTCATTTTTTTTCAAATGTTAAGAAATGTACAATTTAACACACATATTGTATAGACAAATGTCTAGTATTGCTGAGGACCAATCAATATTATTAAACTCTAGATGTCTTTTGCTTTTTAGTGTCGTACTCGCAACAGATTTCATTTTTTTCAAATGTTGATAAGAAATGTACAATTTAACACACATATTGTATAGACAAATGTCTAGTATTGCTGAGGACCAATCAATATTATTAACCTCTAGATGTCTTTTGCATTTTAGTATTGTACTCGCAACAGATTTCATTTTTTTTTCAAATGTTGATAAGAAATGTACAATTTAACACACATATTGTATAGACAAATGTCTAGTATTGCTGAGGACCAATCAATATTATTAACCTCTAGATGTCTTTTGCTTTTTAGTGTCGTACTCTCAACAGATTTCATTTTTTTTCAAATGTTAAGAAATGTACAATTTAACACACATATTGTATAGACAAATGTCTAGTATTGCTGAGGACCAATCAATATTATTAACCTCTAGATGTCTTTTGCTTTTAAGTGTCGTACTCGCAACAGATTTCATTTTTTTTCAAATGTTAAGAAATGTACAATTTAACACACATATTGTATAGACAAATGTCTAGTATTGCTGAGGACCAATCAATATTATTAACCTCTAGATGTCTTTTGCTTTTTAGTGTCGTACTCGCAACAGATTTCATTTTTTTCAAATGTTGATAAGAAATGTACAATTTAACACACATATTGTATAGACAAATGTCTAGTATTGCTGAGGACCAATCAATATTATTAACCTCTAGATGTCTTTTGCATTTTAGTATTGTACTAGCAACAGATTTCATTTTTTTTCAAGTGTTGATAAGAAATGTACAATTTAACACACATATTGTATAGACAAATGTCTAGTATTGCTGAGGACCAATCAATATTATTAACCTCTAGATGTCTTTTTAGTGTCGTTGGTTGCTATCTCATTGATGTATACCCCACATCTCCTCTGATTCAAAATTAAAACAGTTTTAATATTGGGAATGCTAGATGTATATTTGTACATGTATATTATTTACAGAAATGATCATAAGGAGAAGGTACTTTTTTGACAATTTCATTTTTTTAATCTTTTCAATGTTAAATTATTGGTATATTAAAAGTACACTTACCTGTCCAAGAGCCAAACACTGATATGATGGAAATCTACAACACATAACAAATTCATAAATTTCTACTTTTTTGTAATAATTTTTGGTTTATACAAAATGAATATTATCTATACTATAGCCAAATTTGAAATGAAAGAAAGGTAATCTTGATATGACCATTCTTTTACAATACATATTTATTAAATCAAAAAAGTATTGTCCTTGAATTTAGTGTTGTTAGCAAATCTTTGGCTATCACTCTACACCTATTGTACATACAGTTTTCATTAGTTGATGAGATCAGATCTTTTTGGTTATATGTGTCATAAGGTTGTTGTCTCTCTATGCCTGTTGTATAGACAGATTTCATTAGTTTAATGTGAAACTCTAGATGAGATCAGGTCTTTTTGGTTATATGTGTTATAAGGTTGTTGTCTCTCTATGCCTGTTGTACAGACAGATTTCATTAGTTTTATGTGAAACTGTAGATGAGATCAGATCTTTTTGGTTATATGTGTCACAAGGTTGTTGTCTCTCTATGCCTGTTGTACAGACAGATTTCATTAGTTTTATGTGAAACTCTAGATGAGATCAGGTCTTTTTGTTTATATGTGTTATAAGGTTGCTGTCTCTCTATGCCTGTTGTACAGACAGATTTCATTAGTTTAATGTGAAACTCTAGATGAGATCAGGTCTTTTTGTTTATATGTGTTATAAGGTTGCTGTCTCTCTATGCCTGTTGTACAGACAGATTTTATTAGTTTAATGTGAAACTCTAGATGAGATCAGATCTTTTTGATTATATGTGTTATAAGGTTGCTGTCTCTCTATGCCTGTTGTACAGACAGATTTCATTAGTTTAATGTGAAACTCTAGATGAGATCAGGTCTTTTTGTTTATATGTGTTATAAGGTTGCTGTCTCTCTATGCCTGTTGTACAGACAGATTTCATTAGTTTAATGTGAAACTCTAGATGAGATCAGATCTTTTTGGTTATTTGTGTCACAAGGTTGTTGTCTCTCTATGCCTGTTGTACAGACAGATTTCATTAGTTTAATGTGAAACTCTAGATGAGATCAGATCTTTTTGGTTATATGTGTTATAAAGTTGCTGTCTCGTTAACATATCTGTATGTCTCAAAAACTTCTTTTATTTCTAGACAGACACTGATTTAGAGTTTGAAACATTGTAACATTGTTGAAGATCCTATAGATAAATAAACCTACAAATATATCTTTTTTTATTGTCTTGTCAGGTTGCTGTCTTAAGTGATTTATATCTAATATTTTCATGTATTTAAATAAACCTCCACATGTATTTAGTAGTGTATGACTGGAGACAATAGTTAAGGGAAGATTATTATTCAATATCTTGTCAGAATTCAATAACATGTTTGAACTTTAAATTGTTGAGATGGGAATACACATTAAACCGGTGTACCACCATCCAGTTGAACACATACTGGAGTCATCATCTTGGACAGGTTTCTGAAATATTAGTCAGTATCAAATACATTTCAAATTGCAAACATTAAAAGAAAACTGAGAATTTATTATTTTTGTCTTTGAATTCACTTACAATATAGATACTCAGGTCCCCAGCATTATGGAATTATTTGTAAATCAAAGATTTGTGCTTTACCCAGGGGGGTAACTTTTTGAAACATTGAAAAGTAGACAATAGTACTATATGGTACTGCCAAACAGTCAGTTTTTACACTATATTGTAAAATATCAGTAAATAGAACAAGAACTGATGTCTCATTGTTTCTTTCCTGAAATTGATTGATCTAAATGAACTTCTTAAAATAAATTCAAAGTCCTATCTAGGTTAGTTGGCTAGAATTAACTAGGTACAATGTAGCTAGAAATACCTTCTATAAGTTAGTCTGTTAATGAATAGGGAAAATGGGTGTCTATTGTATCTGAAGAGTGTCTGCAGCCCAGCTCTATAACTGATCACACTATTTTTCAGGGTAACTTACTCAGAGATTACGTTGGTAGAGCATTGTACAGCTTCTTTTTGTATCACAGTTAATATATAGTTAATAAGATACTAATATAAATATAAGGGGATTTGGTGCCAATGAGACAACTATCCACCAAAGTTCAAATGAAGTGGATGTATGTACAGCCTTCAAGTCAGATTTTCATTCATAAATAGATTACTTTACAATCAGTCAGGGGTACTACTTGTACAAGTAATCTTTATTTACTTGAAGAAGTTAAAAAAAATATACTTATATAAGTTAATTATAATGTTTGAATAATCTCCCCTTAATTTTCTCAAAAATTTACTTGTATAAGTAAATTTTTTTTACAATCCCACAAAAATTCTCAAGTTTTGAGATGTAAAAACATGCCTTTAATGATTTTTCCCAGGTTAGCTCATAATTTTTGATTAGAGTTCAATGTTTCATCTCATTAATTCAACAAAGAAACAGATTGCACATAGATCTTATTTGTGCAAGGCCTTCAAAATTGCCCCTTGGGGGCTTGTAAATGAGCAGTGTTCTGAAGATAGCAGATACCATGAAATTACACTAAATTAATAATTAAAGACATCTGCAAAGGACATACAATTTAAAATTCTTAAGAATTCAAGAAAAGAAGATAGGATGAATTTTTTACTTATATAAGTAAAAAAATCTGAATGTCTAAGGGACATAACTATGTCAAAAAATTATTTACCAATACAAGTAAATAAAATACACTTGTATAAGTATCCTACAAATTTACTTATATAAGTATATTTATATTTACTTCTTCAAGTAAATAAAAATTACTTGTACAAGTAGTACCCCTAACTGACAATGTAATTATGTATATATAAGTGAATGATCTGAAAATGTTAAATCGTCAGAATTTTATCAAAATCAGCAGAGCAATTTAAAAAGAGTTCCTAGTAAAACTAAATACATCCTTTTTAGAATTAATTACTTGAGATAAATGTGAGACAATATGTCTTTTCTCTGCAGGTGAAGAACTCCTCCATAAAATAAATTCCAAAATTGATGTACATGTAATAAAAAAGGTTACTACTTAACCAATTTAAAAAATACTGGTGTCTAATTAATACTTTTGATCAATAAAACTGTTAAGGTACAAACAAAAATGTAAATAAAACATCTATATCTTATCTAATAAAGGAAATGGCTTAATGTAAATGTAGATAACACTGTTAATTCTTTGCTATTAGAGAGATAATCAAAAATAATTTTAAATACATGTTTGTACATGTATTTCCTTCAACATAGTAACAACAAATTCACACTAGTTTGCCATAATTCCTAACTATGTATTGAATGTCTAATTTGGACATTTTTGATACCTATAATATTTGTAACAATTTATTAATCCGTTTTTCCTAATTTATTATTTACAGTTAATTATCTTAATGAAAATTTACCACAATTGCCCAAAAATCATTGCCTTTCAATATATTTTTTTTATTGGTGATATAAATGCACTCTCCCTACCGTCTAAAAAAAATTATCATACATGTATAGCCATCATGGCCATGCAAAATATATTTAAAGTACATCAATTATTTCAGAAATAATATACTGGTACGAATAAATGTTGAATGTGTCCATGGGACACAGATGATGCCCCCGCTTGCATATAACGTTATAAAGGGATATAACTCAAGAACTGTAAACGTGACGCTACCCAAATTTGTACTTGATCTGAGTTTTGTGGTTATAAGCATTGTGCATAAGTTTCATAACATTTGGTTGAGGCAAACTAAAGTTAGAGAACAGAAACAAATATTTCAGGAATTTTTCCATTTGTAAAGGGGCATAACTCTAGAACGGTTAAAGTGACACCACCAAAATTCAAACTTGATCTGTGTTTTTTGGAAATAAGCATTGTGAATAAGTTTCATAACATTTGGTTGAGGCAAACTAAAGTGAGAGAATGGAAATGTAAATTCAGCAATTTTTCCATTTGTAAAGGGATATAACTCTAGAACAGTAAACGTGACGCCACCAAAATTCAAACTTGACCTGTGTTTTGTGGTAATGAGCATTGTGTATAAGTTTCATAACATTTGGTTGAGGCAAACTAAAGTTAGAGAACGGAAACCAATTTTGGGAAATACATACTGATGGACAAGGGTAAAACTTAATGCCCTCTCCGCTATGGCGGGAGCATAAAAATATTCAAATACATGTACAACCCTTAATAACAAATAACCTTTCTTACAATTTTAATGGTTAATTGAACATAAATTCTCAATAATTTTGAATACATGTATCATGGTATGTACACGGGAAAACGGGAAAAAGCTGACAAAAAATCTTTGGACTCTTTTTTTAAATCAGTAATGAACATAGTTGATATACGCATTCAACATTTTAAAGAACATTTTACTCTTAACAATAACCACAATAAACCTATTTCTCGTATCAAACATAAACTAAAAGAACTAGCCAAGGAATTTGTTTTTGTCCCGGCCGATAAAGCTGCTAATAATATAATTATTGTTTGACGTAAATTTTACATTGAGGTTCTGAAAAAAGAAATCACCAATTCACCAACATTCCATCTGACTCCATTTTCAGAAAACGACATCTGTAACAAACATAAACTTTTAGCTACCGCTTTACAAGCAGAACCAAATACAATGAAAGTCCCAACTATGTATTGGCTTCCGAAGCTACACAAAACACCTTACAAATATAGATTCATTTCGTCTTCAAGCCATTGTTCCACTACTAAATTGTCTATTCTTCTTACCAGTACACTTGGTACAATCAAAAACCTGATAATAAATTGTTCAAATAAGGCCTTCGAAAATAGAGGAATTAATTACTTTTGGAGTGTCAAGAACTCGTTGGAAGTACTTGATAAATTGCATGCATATATTGGTGATTTTGAATCTGTTCAAAGTTTTGATTTTTCTACCCTATATACCACATTGCCTCACATTCTCATTAAGAAAAAATTCACACACCTAATTAAATGGGCATTTAAAAAGTCAGAATGTGAATATATATGTTCAAACTCTTTTAGGTCATTTTTTAGTAGCAATAAACAAAAAAACTATGTCAATTGGACATGCTTTGATACTATATATGCCCTTGAATTTTTACTAGATAACATTTTTGTTCGCTTTGGAGATTCCGTATATCGTCAGGTTATCGGAATTCCAATGGGGACTAACTGTGCACCACTTATTGCGGACCTTTTTTTGTATTGCTATGAGTTACAATTTATGACAAAAATCAGTAAAGACCCATCGAAACAACATCTGATACATAAATTTAATAATACTTTTAGATATTTGGATGATATTTTGGCTCTCAATAATGACGACTTCAGTATGTATACTAAAGAAATTTATCCTGTTGAACTTACTTTAAATAAAGCTAATACTAACAATGACCACTGCCCTTTCCTCGATCTTGATATCTATATCATTAACGGAAAGCTTAATACTAAAATATATGATAAAAGAGATGATTTTTCATTTCCTATCGTTAATTATCCATTTTTAGATGGTGACGTTCCCTTGTCACCATCTTACGGTGTTTATATATCTCAACTTGTACGATTCGCTCGTGTATGTAACAATGTTTTAGATTTTAACGAGAGAAATTTATGTATTACTGAAAAATTATTACACCAGGGTTTTCGATATCACAAACTAGTCAAAACATTTACTAAATTTTATCATCGGTATAAAGACATCATTCGTAAATATAGCTCAACATGCAGACTTCTTATACGTTCAGGTATTTCACATCCAATTTTTTATGGAAATATTCTTTATAAAGCACAAAAATGTCAGTATTCACCTCTGAAACTAACAAAACCTTTAAATAGACTTATTAAGAAGGGATATAGTTACGATACTGTTGTCAGGTCATTAAAGATTGCATATTTTGGCGTTAATATTGATTCACTTATAGGGTCTTTGCATCGGCACTAAACACATTTATTTAAAAACCAGTTGTTGGCATGACACGGGTTATGTTCTTCTCATATATGTTATGATGGTATGATACTAAACCCCTAACGGGAAGGATTGTGCCTGATATTCATATGATGAAGACATAATCTTTCAATCAGTTTAATTGAAGTCTGGAGCTGGCATGTCAGTTAACTGCTAGTAGTCTGTTGTTATTTATGTATTATTGTCATTTTGTTTATTTTCTTTGGTTACATCTTCTGACATCAGACTCGGACTTCTCTTGAACTGAATTTTAATGTGCGTATTGTTATGCGTTTACTTTTCTACATTGGCTAGAGGTATAGGGGGAGGGTTGAGATCTCATAAACATGTTTAACCCCGCCGCATTTTTGCGCCTGTCCCGAGTCAGGAGCCTCTAGCCTTTGTTAGTCTTGTATTATTTTTAATTTTAGTTTCTTGTGTACAATTTGGAGTTTAGTATGGCGTTCATTATCACTGAACTAGTATATACATTTGTTTAGGGGCCAGCTGAAGGACGCCTCCGGGTGCGGGAATTCCTCGCTGTATTGAAGACCTGTTGGTGGCCTTCTGCTGTTGTCTGTTCTGTGGTCGGGTTGTTGTCTCTTTGACACATTCCCCATTTCCATTCTCAATTTTATTAATTTTACACGTATGTATATACATTTGTACATCTAGTTGTATCATGGTATGTACACGTATGTATATACATCTAGATGTAGACTTAGACGGATGTAAGTATTAAATACACTTTGAGGGCATTAGGCTGAATGAGTGTATCTTATTTAAACCAAGATAATAATGGTCAATGCAGAATTATAGTTTTCAATAATTCAGAAGGGGGGTCTTTCAGCAATTTGACCATGTGTTATTGGAAAGCATGATAAATGCAGGGTATCCAATTTCATTTAACAACATCTTGGTTTTAATTGTAAAATCCGATTCCACATCCATGGATATTCTTATCTGTACTAATGATATATCAGTATCTTTGAAGTTATTACATATTTCATTACAAGATAAGGTCTTTCAAAGTACAACCATTTAAAAAAAACCTGAGACCATCAAAATAAACATTACAACAATCAAATGTCACTCTGCAAAAAAACAAGTAAAATACTTGGGTCATGGTATCTCTGAACATGACATACAGGCGGACAAATCTAAAACAGCTGCAGTTTCTGGATATTCATTACAAATACTCAGTCATACATCTCCCTAGCTTTCTAGGTATTTACAACTACATGTACCATAGACTTTAGCACTTTCAAAAAAAGATTTCAATAGATGTATTAGGCTGAGCTTTTGAATATCTTTTAGTTCAAAAAGATAATGCTGCATTAGAAAGGTCATTGAATATTGAGGTAGAGTTATGACCTCAAATGACTTCTAAAAGTCAAGTTTGTGCAAACTAAGACTGGAATGTTGAGAAATTTGAAACATTCTGATCAGATATGAAACATTTTTCTATTTTTGAAGCACAAAATAATTGCTTTATAGTCAGATGTATATCAAAAATGAAATCTATGAATTGGGAAAATGCTGTATACAATGAATGTTTATTAGACAAACTAGACATCATTGAGATGGGAGCCATCTCTGTGGGCCCCGCTGTGAATAACGTGTGGTAAAAAATTTGTATCTTGACCATAGGACATGGGGTTGTCAACTGAAACCAAAGTTTTTGACCTTGACCTTTGACCTAGGAAGTTGTACATACATTAAGACACACCCTCTGGTGTTGGTTAATATACAAGTCAAGTATAAACTTTGAAATCATAACGGTTCTCAAGATATAGAGCGTACACGATCTTTACCATAGGACATAGGGTTGTCAACTGAAACCAGTTTTGACCTTGACCTTTGACCTAGGAAGTTGTACATATATTATGACACACCCTCTGGTGTTGGTAATATACATGTCAAGTATAAACTTTAAAATCATAACGGTTCTCAAAATAAAGAGTGGACATGATCTTTAACATAGGAAATGGGGTTGTCAACTGAAACAAAAGTTTTTGACCTTGATCTTTGACCTAGGAAGCTGTACAAACATTATGACACACCCTCTGGTGTTGGTTAATATACATGTCAAGTATAAAGTATGAAATTATAACGGTTCTCTAGATATAGAGCGGACACAATTTGTTACGGACAGATGGACATACTGATCACTATAGGGCGACCCGCCATTCGGCGGGGCCCTAATTAGCAAGGTGAATCATGTTCATTTTGTACATTTAATTTACTTTTCAATTGTGTTTAATCTTATACAAATTGATATTAAGCACTTATTCTTGACACCTAGTAGACAATTTTGATGATAATTTGATACAGTTAATGTAAAAATGACATCATGAGAAAGGCATAATTCAAATATATTCATTTCATTAGATAAGTCTTAGATAAACATTAATTTTTTTAAGTTGTAAAAATTACTTAAATTGAAAAATTAATGTTGTTGATTTGCCAAATCCTTTCCATAAAAGAATTATATTTTCCTGCTTTCATTGATTCTAAAAAATTCCTACAGTCAACTGAGAATTTCACACAACATTTCATGTGCAAATTTCCACTTACAGTGGAGTCCCCAGTGTCCGTGTGGCCGGTGATATTGTGCATTACCTAATTTTGTCATGTCCGCATTGTAACACAAATAGAATCATTCTTGTAATTGTTTTTTGGTCCACTCAGTGACACAGTTTAAATCACCAATTATCGTCAGGTATCTATTGTCCCTCTATTGTCCATTTCAATCAATACAGTTCACTTCAATTATTACCTATCAGGAAGTTCTCAAACCTCTTTCCCAACTTTGTTTATTTTCGCACCTTCTGTAGGAACGATAAAAAGTGCACTGCAAAATCCAGTTACGTTTTTAATTTTTTAAAATATAAAATGCATTTGAATTTCATTTATGTAGGGCATGCTATGCCTTAAAATTTTTCCAGATACTCAGGTTTGTCTGTACTCAACAGTAAATTTGTAGGTGAAAACACAGCCATTTTAGACATAGCTATATATAGGGTCCACATGAATCTTTAGTAAGGATGAAACCATATATATAGAAGATATCATAAAATTAAAGTATGTCATGAATTTGTTCACACAATATTTTCCAATTATTGATTTTATTAGTTTACTAAAGTGAAACCAAAAGTCTTAGGTGCATGGATACACAGGACTGCATCATACTTCACATTTACTCTTCGACTTTTAAAGTAATTATTTATTATTTTATTATGGGGCCAGATCAACATGGGACTGGATCGACTTGTGGACGGAGATTTGTCCAAATAATTATGCCCTCATGAAAAGGCTATTTTAAGATTTCATAATTGTTTGGACTAGACGGATATCGGATCCAGATCAAATTGTGGCTGGATTGGTTTGGGACATGAACAAACTAACATCGTTGAAGGATAAACAGACGAATATTCAAAACTAACATTACTGCTTAGCTCCCCGTTTCAGCAATACATAGTTCACATTTGATAGGTTACAGATCATCTATAGTATAAAAAAAGTAACTGCAGACGAAATTTGATAAGTCTATGAGTTTAGGAAGAATTCATAAGTGAATGATACTTACTTGTATGTAGTGAGTACTACTTTATTGACAACTATAATCAGAAAAGAAGAAAATCCATAAAACAGCGCAGAGAAAAGACGCATGAATGTTGCCGAACCAGAATCACCAAACCTATCTGAAAGACCCATGATGTGGACTGTTGATGTTGGAGATAGGAAGCGGATGTGATCGTCAGGGGCGAGAACTCTAATTTCTTGGGAAAATAGAAAATAAACAATGGAACCTGCTTTTAAATTCGAAAATCCGAGATCAAATAGTTGCATTTCAGATAGGTATATGTGATATCTAACTTTCCCAATTCATGATTACTTAATTATTTAAACCGTAATAGAGCAATTGAAATGCATTTCGCTGTCATGCAGCCACGTGCAATTCTACATGTTTATTGGCATTCTCCCAAATCTTTTATTTTCATGCGAATCAGCAAAATAAAAAAAAAAGATTTTACAGCAAATAATATTCCTGCGTTATTTGTAAATTTATGTAGATGTTTTCATTTGGTATAACTTTATTTATTTCAAATTAAGTTAGAAATTTGATGTAGAGAAAAAATACACCTTCTTGCTGTTTGTGGACATTATTTACCATATATGGTCAGATCATATGTTTTCGTACGTCATATGAATTCGTACTTTGCGTGCTTTTTCAATGGAAATTGTGACGTCACAATGTGTTCTTAATAGCACTAAAACCCATAATACGAGGATAGACCTTATTGGGTCTTACTAATCAGTCAGGGGTACTACTTAAACAAGTGATTTCAGTTATCACCTATTTAAGTGATTTTGGTGTTTCCTTTGATCTTCAAATGCTAATTTCATTGATTTTCCATATTTTGACAAACTTTTCTATAATTTTCCTACATAGAACTAATTATCCCTTTATTTTGTATATCAATTTCACCAGTACGCTTGGACAGTAAGTTAGTGCGCTAAAGCTTTTAAAAGTACCCTTGGGAATTTTTCTATAATCAAATATTCATTAACTACTCTTACTATCAGACAAAGGTCAACAATATTGAGGTATGTCCAAGACACAATGTAGTCTCGATATCGACGACATCAACTATATCGAGTCGATATCGACATATAATGATCCAAATGTTTATCTGCTACATTTTTCTATATAGACAATTTAGTTTCTCCTGGTTCGTCTAATAAAGATGTCGATATCGACAACATCAACGATATCCAGTCGATATCGACACATTATGTTTCAAATGACTATCTTCTAAGATAATCTATATAGACAATTTGGTTTCTCCTGGTTCGTCTGTTTTAAGATATCGATATCGACGATATCCAGTCGATATCGACACATTATGTTCCAAATGTCTATCTGTTTTATAGTTATGTATATAAACAATTTTAGTTTCTCCCAGATCGTCTATTTTAGATGTCGATATCGACAATATCGACGACATCGTGTCGATATCGAAAAATTAAATTCCAAATGTTTATCTCCTACAGTTATCTGTATAGACAATTTAGTTTCTCCTGTTTCGTCTGTTTAACTATGTCGACGATATCAATTCCATATCAACATTTAAACATTTTCTTCATAATTTGTTTCTCTATTTATTTCGTTTAGTTTATGTACCTTAATTACTCACTAAGATAAGGGGATGTTGCACGATTTGCAATGAGACAACAGACCACAATACACAAAAAGAATGAGGATGTTAACAACTATACGTCACAGTCTTCACAACAAAGATTAACAATCAAACCGGCATAACAAAATATCAAATATTTCAAATGGGAAAACAAACATCCTGATTTATGTATAAATGATAAACAAAAACTAATATGACCGACACCAACGGACGACAACCACTTAATCAAAGAGCTCCCGAGAAGTGTCAATCACAATAAGGATGTTGCGAGGTTAAACTTGTGCGTTAAAACTTCCCTTAAATCTATGACGGTGGTATAGCATCAATACATAAAATTCAACAAATAGACAAAATCACAAAGTACTGATCTAAGAGTACTCGAAACTATTCAAATAAAGTTAAAATCTAATTTCAACCAATAGATAAACCATGTTTTCTCTGTTTGAAATGGGAATCAGTTCACATCCCATGGATTTGAATTTTACATAGCAAGTCATGTTTGTACTATATCTGCATTTTTAGATCTTTGTATGCAACCATATCTCACTTAGTTAACACCTAAATTACCATGTCAGCCATTGTCAATGTAATACAAGCAAACATTTTGTTTTTGTTTTTTTGAAGAATACATTAATGTGTTTTAAAGGGTACATTACTTTGAAGATGTGACCACCTGATTGTCTTTTAAAAAAATAAATAGATTACAATTCAGCCATCATCTATCCCTATATCAAACTTCGGTCTTAATTTATATATATAATCAGCTTGTTACGTCTTATTTTTATTCATTATCTTAAGTCATCATCGATATCGAGTCGACATTGTCGATATAAACGATATCAACATCAGGTTTTGTCATTGGTGTCGTCATCAAAATCTACATCTGGTTATGATATGAGTGTATAAGTTCACCGATATCGATTCGATATTGTGTCGACATTGTCGATATCGACGATATCGACATCTTGGTATGTCTTGGACATGTATGACAATATTAGGTAACCTGATTGGTTTTCTTTAGAGTTACAATGATCTACTTCAAGGTTATGTCCTGATCTACAAATTATTCCAGTTTTTGCATATTTTAAATAAACTGTAAAAACTGACAGGCTAATCAAGCAAAAGACAATTTCTGCATGTACATAGTTGTTTTTTCAATGGAATTCTTGTCTTTTTACCAATAAAAAAGGCAGGCTTGTGGGAAAAATATCAAGAAAATGTTATAAACACTTGTTGAAGTGATTTCATTTTAATTTCTCAAATTACTTGTTTCAGTGATTTTAAAAAGTCTGTGTCTATTTTTGTGAAAATTTTTAATATTTCATAGCCAAAATCACTTGAAGAAGTGATTCTGAAATCACTTGTTTAAGTAGTACCCCTGACTGCTAATAGACATCTTCCCATAAATTTCCTATGTCACAATGCTTATGTTGATATGTCACTGTAAAAACTGTAGAATACAGTCAGTAGTAGTAGAGGGTGAAACATCGACCTCCATACCTGTTTAGTCCGGCGTACCACAAGGATCCGTCCTGGGACCTAGCCTTTTTTTGTTTAATATAAACGATATGCGCCAGGGGATTCAATCAACCGTACGACTGTTTGCTGATGATACTATTGCTTATCTCACAATCTCATCCAATGCAGATGCAGCAAACTTGCAAAAGGACCTTGACCAACTGGCTGTATGGGAAACAACATGGCTTATGAAGTTCCATCCAGACAAATGTAATGTACTCACCATCTCCAAGAAGTGAACTCCATCAAAGTACAATTACACACTACATGGCCATAACCTTGAACATGTAACATCAGCTAAATACCTGGGATGCACTATTTCATCAGATCTTAAATGGGGGAAACACATAAGCTCCATCTGCTCCAAAGCCAACAACACCATTAGCTTCTTAAAAAGGAATGTTAACATCTCAAACAAGTCACATAAAGAAAAAGCATACATGTCCCTCGTCAGGCCTACTTTTGAATATGCTAGTGCAGTATGGGACCCATACCAACAAAACGACATCCACAGATTGGACATGGTGCAAAGACAGGCAGCAAGGTATGTTACTAACAGATATCACAACACCTCATCTGTTAGTAGCATGCTTGAACATCTTGAAGGGTCTACCCTACAAGAACGAAGGAAACATAGCCGCTTAATAATGATGTATAAGCTACAAAACAACTATGTCAAAATAATTAATTGATACATCCAGTAAGCTAATACCAGATGAACGCCCTTCCAGAAATAACAACGAAAAGGCATTTAGAATTCCATCATGTAAAACAACTGTACGGAAGGAGTCGTTCTATCCTAAAACAATCAGAGAGTGGAACACCTTGCCCAACTCTACTGTCTCCGCCCAGAGTCCTGAATCCTTCAAGGCTCAGCTCCGTCATTAGATTTAAATGCCATGTTTTTAATTGCACCTGTATATATATTAAATTGCACCCATTCTCTTTTTGTTTATTAAATTTCAAAAATATTTCATGTGTTCACTCCAAAATGTGGCAGAATAGTCAACCAGTTGACGGTGGCCGGTTACCGGAAGAAGAAGAACTGATTGTTTGATGACTTCGTTTACGCCAAATTGGTGTTAACGAAGTCATCAAACAATCAGTTACCCCAGGTCAACTGGTGTAACTCATTCACATAAAACAGCTTGTGATAGATCACTGGTGTATAACAACAACAATACTTTATTTTAAGAGGGTTACACAGTTAGTTATATAACTAATCTTCCCTCAGGCCCTCATCATAGAAAAGCATAAACAAAAATGCAATCATATACATGGCATACATTAGTATAAAAGTCAAGTATGATGATAATGTGCAATACAACTTGATAAAATGTTATGAAAAAATAAACATGATGAAACAATCAATATTCAATATTTTTTTTTCAACAGGTTGATTTCAATAAATGATCTGTTATTTTGTATTTGAAAGAATTAACATTTGTAATATTTCTTAATGATATTGGCAAATTATTCCTCAAGAATGGTCCAGAATACATAAAAGATTTCTTGAACAATTTTATTTTTGGTTTAGGGAGTATGAGGTTTCCTTGAACAGCATTTCTCAAGGGGTATGGATTTCTGCCTGAAACATAATGAAACTTGCTAGTAAGATATGGTGGGGCATCATTTTTGATGAACTTAAATGTCATCACAAACTTATTTTATTCTCTTTTCAACTGTCATCCAGTTTAAGTGTTTGAATAAGGGCTCAGAAGGAGCAAAAGGGTCTGTTTCTAGTATAATTCTAGCAGCTCTTTTTTCATGTTTTTTTGTAATTTTAATATCCTATTTAAACCTTCACTGCTACAACTACTCCAAACTATACAACAATAATTTAATTTTGGATGTAACACGTCTTACGATTGGCTGACGTTGTTTTGTTTATCAGCTCATAGACATAATTTTGTCATATGACCTTGTCGTCATCAATGTTTTTTCATGATTTACTGCGGTTTAAAATGGAATTAAGAATTAAATTATAAGAAATGACTGTAATATTTTTTCTGTTTATTCGAAATAACATAAAAAATGTGGTGCACACTTTAAAATAACCCGCTAAGCGGGTTATTCAGTGTGCACCACATTTTTGATGTTATTTCTTCATAGACAGAAAAAATATTACAGTCATTCCTTAAATAATAATCAATTAGTGGTAAGATATAACCATTATAGAATAATTTTCTACAGTCTAGATTTAGAAATTTCTTAATCTTTAATAGATAGGTTATGAATGGCATACTTTGAGGTAGCATTATTTCCCTTGGTTTCATTTTTGAGGGATAAACAGTTGATTTTCTTATTTGATTTATAACCAAATTGAATCATTGGATACCCTCAAGTCTGAAAAGAGATCCTTACTAGACCGTACTAGCCCAATACCAGATACTGTCAGAAATTCACAGTTTTTCTCCAATAACTTTTAATTTTAACAGGAAATACTTTTTAAATATTCTTTTAACATGTTCAACACGAAAATTGTTTATACCAACCATTAGGTCTAGGACCACAGACTCAGATTTTAATTCCTCTTATATACAGAGAAAAGTGGCTTACTGGTGTGCCGATTTTTGCTTGAAATTTTATGGATACAAGGACCAGTTACTGTTAATTACGAACCCAGTTCCTAAATGATAGAAATATCATATTTTGCTGTTATGAGGCAAACAGAGATGGAAGTTTGTCAAATGAACCAACAATATTGTCATTCTGTCCATAAATTCTGTCTTTTGCTCAATCTGAACGGATCTCAAATTTACGTCACCTGAAATCAACAAGTTACACTGGCAGTTTGCATTGAAAAGGATCATGGAAATTGATTCTAAAATTAATAAACCTTTTATTCCTCTGAAGGAAATTTTATGTCCGATGTAATCTTTGCTATTACTTTATCTGTAAACGGTAAGTTTTCTTAAACCGAGGGTGTCATAAAGTGATGATGTCATGTTCCTGCACGCATATATTCCCACAATATGGTAAAGGAACAAAAAAATCTAGTTTTTCAAAGTCTTCATTTGATCAAACAAAACCGAGTTATAAAAATAAAAGAGTATTTTTATGAAGATAATAGCAGTATGCCGTATTTATGTAACACGTCCATAATTGCATAAAATGCAAGGTGACGGTAACTGACCGTTACTGAAATAACAAATAAAGTAATAGAATTTGTTTAGAAAAACTCTTTTTCTAGAGTCTAGTGGTCAGTACAAAAAGTTGAATTTGGCTTATTTATGAAGGAATTTGCGCACATCGACCTCCACCATGGTGACAAAAGAGAAGTTCTTACTCAAAATTGTGTCAATAGTAATCCATCTATTAACAGGTAGACATATTTAGCGACAAGAAAGTTCACATACATTTGTTGATTATTTATTATAATGTTTCAAATTGTGCACTGATTTTCTGTTATAGTGTAACATAATTAGCCCCCAGTTTAAAGAAAAACCCTAATCTTTATGGCAATTTATGAAAAGTAAGAAAACAGAAACATCAGGAGTTTTTAAAGGAAAGGATTGTTTATTATACAGTAACCCTAAAACACAAGCCAACATCCCAAAGGAACAATTTAAAAGTGCTTTCACTGCTGAAGATAGATTTTCCATGTCAAATCCCCATCCAACCATGCCAGACATAAATATTAATAAATACAGAATATTCAGAGTTTTCTAAAAGCGGTGATCCGAAGGTCCTAACCACCAAAAGTTTGCAAGGGATCAACGCAATTTTGGTGTTTTGCAATAGAAATGATAGTGAGGACCAGCAGATTTCTTCAAGGACCACCAGGGAAAAAAGATATTGTGATGTCTGAACATTGAAGTTACTCTAAAACTTAACTCCCCATAAAGCCACTGGCCCTGATAATCTACCAGCATATTTTTTACATAATTTTTCAGAAATATTGTCTCCATTTTTGAAATTCAAAAAAAATAATTGATTTCTGAACAGATTGGACGCAGGTTAATGTTGAACCTATATTTAGAAAGGGTGACAAACAACGCTATAAATTATAGACCTGTTTCACTAACGGCAATATGTGAAATATTGGAAACATATTTTAACAAGTAAGATCTTACAAATGAAAACATATTAATTGACTGTAAATATAGGTTTAGGAGTAAAAGGTCTTGCAAGACCCAACTCATTATCAGTATCCAAGATCTAGAAAAATCATTGGCAAATGTAAGTTATACATTTGTACCTGACTGTAGATTTTTCAAAAGTGTTTAATAAAATCCCCTATCAAAGATTAACTCAAAAATGAGATTTTTACAGATTAGGAACCAAAACTTATAATGTACTCATGTTTATAGGTATAATAGTCTTTTTAGCTCACCTTTCCAAAGGAAATGTGAGCTTTTGCCATCACTTGGTGTCTCTCGTCATCCGTCCGGTGTAAACTATTTCAAACATCTTCTCCTCTGAAACTACTGAACCAATTCCAACTAAACTTTAGCTGAATGATCCTTAGGGTATCTAGAATAAAGTTTGTGTTTTATTTTCTGTTTCGTCAAAAAACATGGCTGCCATGGCTAAAAATAGAACATAAGGGTAAAATGCAGTGTTTGGCATTTAAGCAAATCTGACATGGGGTAAACATGTTCATTAGGTCAAGTTCTATCAGCCCTGAAATTTTCAGATGAATTTAACAACCCATTGTTGGGTTGCTGCCACTAAATTGGTAATATTAAGGAAATTTTGCAGTTTTTAGCTAACCTGGCCCAGAGGGCCAAGTGAGCTTTTCTCATCACTTGGCGTCCGTCGTCCGTCGTCCGTCGGCCGTCGTCGTTAGCTTTTACAAAAATCTTCTTCTCTGAAACCACTGGGCCAAATTTAACCAAACTTGGCCACAATCATCATTAGGGTATCTTGTTTTAAAAATATGTCCGATGACCCCGCCAACCAACCAAGATGGCCGCCATGGCTAAAAATAGAACATAGGGGTAAAATGTAGATTTTGGCTTATATCTCTGAAACCGAAGCATTTAGAGTAAATCTGACAGGATAAAACTGATTATCAGGTCAAGATCTATCTGCCCTGAAATTTTCAGACAAATCTGACAATCCGTTGTTGGGTTGCTGCCCCTGAATTGGTAATTTTAAGGAAATTTTGCAGTTTTTGGTTATTATCTTGAATATTATTATAGATAGAGATAAACTGTAAACAGCAATAATGTTCAGCAAAGTAAGATCTACAAATTAGTCGTCATTACCAAAATTGGCAGTCGATCCCTTTAGGAGTTATTGCCCTTTATAGTCAATTTTTAACAATTTTTCGTAAATTTTTGTAATCTTTTACAAAAATCTTTTTCTCTGAAACTACAGAGACAAATTTAACCATACTTGGCCTTAATCATTATTAGGGTATATAGTTTAAAAAATTTGTCGGATGACCCCGCCGTCCAACCATCATGGCCGACATGGTTAAAAATAGAATATAGGGGTAAAATGCAGTTTTTGGTTTATATCTCTGAAACTAAAGCATTTAGAGCAAATCTGACATGTGGTAGAAATGTTCATTAGATTTAGATTTATCTGCCCTGAAATTTTCAGATGAATCCGACAACCCGTTGTTTGGTTGCTGCCCCTGAGTTAGTAATTTTACAGAAAGTTTGCAGTTTTTTGTTAATATCTTAGATATCATTATAATATCTAATATCTAATACTATCAATTATGATTTTAACCTTATTTTACATGATTTCCAAAGCATCAGTAAATACAGGTGAGCGACACAGGCTTATGAGAGCCTCTAGTTGGTTATTATCTTGAATATTATTATAGATAAAGATAAACTGCAAACAGTAAAAATGTTTTCAGCAAAGTAAGATCTACAAATAAGTTTTTAATGACCAATATTGTCAATTGACCCCTTAAGGAGTTATTGCCCTTTAAGGACAATTTTACACAATTTGTTTATCATGTTTTCTAACTTTAAGAAATCTTCTCCAACCAAATTAAACCAAACTTAAGCTGAATGGTTCTAAGCTTATCTAAATTAAAGTTTGTGTTTTATTTTCTGTTTCCTCAGAAAACATGGCTGCCATGGCTAAAAATAGAACATAGGGTAAAATGCAGTTTTTGACTTATATCTCAAAAACTAAAGCATTTAGAGCAAATCAGACAAGATGTTAAAGTATTCATTAGGTCAAGGTCTACCTGCCCTGAAATTATCAGCCAAATCTGATTTTTAGGTTATTGCCCCTGATTTTATGATTTTAAGGAAATTTTGCAGTTTTCGGTTATTATCTTGAATATTATAGATAAAGATAAACTGTAAACAGCAAAAATGTTCAGCAAAGTAAGATCTACAAATAAGTTCATATGACCAAAATTGTCAATTGACCCCTTAAAGAGTTATTGCCCTTTAAAGATTTTCACAATTTGTTCATCTAGTTTGCTTTCTTTCAAAAATCTTCTCCTTTGAAATTGCTGAATTAATTTCAGCCAAACTTGGGCTGAATGAGTTTCAGAGTATCTAGTATAAATTTTGTATTTTATTTCCTTGTACATCAAGAATCATAGCCACTATGGCTAAAATGGAACATAGGGGTAAAATGCATTTTTTTGCTTTTGAAGAAAATATGACAGATACAAAGAACATTTAAATGGCATTTTTAAGCCACTCATAAATATATATTGAAAAGCAAAAATAATCATTGATGAAAGATTTAAGCAAAAAATTACAGGTGAGCGATTCAGGCTCTTGAGAGCCTCTTGTTTTTAAATGTTATATTATGAATTAACAAAGCGGGATATACATTGTACATCATTAAGAATGAGCATGTCCAGCTGGTTTTGATGTTCTTACTACTGAATTTTACATGCATGACCAAACATTTGAATTTAAAAACATAACATGAACATGCAAATTTTATGAATGAAGAAATATCAAAAGGAACAGTGACAACTACATGTACATGTATTTATGACTACACAACTGTTGATAAAAGTCTCTGTTATGAATATTAAGAATATAAAAAAAAATATTATTGTAGCAAAAAGTTATTGAATTTATTAACATTTGTATTGTATATTTTAATTAGTAGTGGCAGTGGAGAAGATGTGGACCATGGATTAGAAGAACTGACCATTATCACTAATCTTCCAGAATCTCCATTGAAAGGACCAAAATCACCACTTAAAGCACCGAAATCACCTACAAAGTCAGGAATAAACAAAAAAATATCCTTCACTACATCATCTAAATCTCAACGCGTTTATCAGTCCGGGTTAAGAACTTTATATACATCTGGAAGACCTCCATGGTATGATTCACATGGATCATTGAAAGAACCATTTGTTATAGGTTAGTAAGAATTGATCTCATCTTTTTATCATTGGCACATTTTATTTACATTAATAAAAACCATGCAATCATTTAAAATTTACAACAGTGAGTTTAAACATCTATTCCAACACACTAACAAATTGATATACAATGTACCTGTCAAAAAAGATGAACTAAGGTTTGACAGTTCTGTTCTTTGATATCCAGAGTAAATAAGATTGCAACTTACAAATGTATCTACCAAACATGCCGAATTATAAACATTACAGAAGAAATATGGTGTGGTTGTAGATAACTAGATAAATGAACTAGATAATTTAATTACAGAGAAAATTTTGTTTTACCTGCATTTACCTTTTTTGTTGGGAGTGTTGGTCATAGACCATCCTACCATTATTAGAAGGTCATTAAGGGTTTAACGAGCATACCTTCATGGTTTGCAACAAAATGCTGAAACCATTTTTAACTCGCATACATTTTACATTAAAATGGATTACAGGAATCGTCAATAATACAGCACAGTACAACATGTACCACAGATCACAGCTAGCTATACTTGGTACAGGACAAATAGTGGTGGGATTAAACCAGTTTTTTAAGTGCTAACAAATTTCCCCCTTTGTTTCTCTCTCTATATATATATCTAGACCATATATCATAAAACTAAAACACACAATAAAAACCTGTTCAGTCCAGCGACATTTAAAAATATAGATATTGTTTTTTTTATGCATTTAAAGGCAAATTAAACGATTTCATACATCTAAAAATCTCTTTGATAAATTAAAGTCAAAGTTAGTCTTTAAAACTAGCATGTGCTTTGAATCTTTTACATGCATTAAATTTAAATACGAATAGGTGTATGTGGTGGCAGTGCCTCCGGTAAAACCACTGTGGCCAGGAAGATAATAGAAGCTTTAGATGTTCCCTGGGTCAGTTTACTGAGTCTGGACTCATTCTACAAAGTAAGTGTGGCTTTACAGAGGATTGTAGTGCATAAGGTAAAACTACTATAACCAGGCATATAATAGAAGCATAAGATATCACATAGGTCAGTTTACTTAAAATTAGTTCATAGATCAAGCATGGATGTGGGGTGGGGTGTCAAACTACTGCAAGGAAACCTTAGATGTTTACATGGTCAGCTTTTGCAGTATGAGTTCATTCTACAAAGTATATTTAAATGCAGGCTTGGTTTTAAATATATGAAAACGAAAAGCACTTTTTTCAAATCTCAGGAAAGATCTAACTTTTTCATTTAAGGAAGTAAGACAGTAAAAGCTAATCAGTTTAATATCTAAACATTCTTCCAAACATCAGCTATTATTACATTGGTTGCAATGAAATATCTTGATTTCCCATTCAAATAAAAACAAATAATTTCCCATTCAAATAAAAACAAATAATTTCCCATGTGAAAGAATTCCTGTAATTTCTTTACTCTGACATCATACAACAAGAGGTTTTGTCAAAGTGTTGTCCATGATGATGCATTAACATAAATGAGAAGACATAAAAAAGATACATGTATAGTTCCTTGTATTGTCTACCTTATATATATTATAAGTCAATGCAATAAAAAGAACGGTGCTAATTCACTCCTGCTCATATTGGATTAGTTGTTTTATAAGAAATGAAGATTTTCTTATTTTTGCAGGTATTAAATGAAGAAATGCATGAGACTGCTAATAGAAATGAATACAACTTTGATCATCCTGATGCCTTTGATTTTGATTTATTGATAGACACACTACGCCGATTAAAAGATGGCAAAAGTGTGGAAGTTCCTATTTATAACTTCATCACACACAGTAGAGATCAAAATACAGTAAGTTAAGCTCAGTGGCATACACTTTTCTTACATATTATTTTGGGTAATGCTACTTGCGAGAACGATATATGGGGCCAATGTTGTAATATTTGTGTTTATCATTTTAGAGAACAATATATGGGGCCAATGTTGTAATATTTGTGTTTATCATTTTAGAGAACGATATATGGGGCCAATGTTGTAATATTTGTGTTTATCATTTTAGAGAACGATATATGGGGCCAATGTTGTAATATTTGTGTTTATTATTTTAGAGAACGATATATGGGGCCAATGTTGTAATATTTGTGTTTATTATTTTGGAGAACGATATATGGGGCCAATGTTGTAATATTTGTGTTTATCATTTTAGAGAATGATATATGGGGCCAATGTTGTAATATTTGTGTTTATCATTTTAGAGAACAATATATGGGGCCAATGTTGTAATATTTGTGTTTATCATTTTAGAGAATGATATATGGGGCCAATGTTGTAATATTTGTGTTTATCATTTTAGAGAACAATATATGGGGCCAATGTTGTAATATTTGTGTTTATCATTTTAGAGAACGATATATGGGGCCAATGTTGTAATATTTGTGTTTATTATTTTAGAGAACAATATATGGGGCCAATGTTGTAATATTTGTGTTTATTATTTTAGAGAACGATATATGGGGCCAATGTTGTAATATTTGTGTTTATCATTTTAGAGAATGATATATGGGGCCAATGTTGTAATATTTGTGTTTATCATTTTAGAGAACAATATATGGGGCCAATGTTGTAATATTTGTGTTTATCATTTTAGAGAACGATATATGGGGCCAATGTTGTAATATTTGAAGGCATAATGAGCTTTGTGAATAAAGAATTATTAGATGTAAGTACACCTTTTAGATAATTGTTTATTTCTTCACTTGTTTTTTACATGACTGCATCGTCGTCCGAAGACATTGGTTTCAGACAATAACTTGAAAATAAGTGTATGGATCTTTATAAAATTGTACCACAAGGTTCCATACCACAAAAGGAAGGTTGGGATTGATTTTGGGGGTTATTATCCTAACTGTTTAGGAATTGGGGGCCAAATTGAAAAACAAGCATTATTTTAACTTGATAACTTGAGTAAAGTCTATGGATCTCTATGAAATTGTACCACAAGTTTCCATACCAAAAAAAGAAGGTTGGGATTGATTTTGGGGGTAATAGAAAATGAAAGGATATGGAGTAAATGTCCATGGGACAAAATTGCACACAATACATAGAAAACATAGAAAATTATCAATGAATAGGGCTTTTATTCCTGTTCTTCATCTTGACAGTTGATGTAGGGTCTTCAACAATGAACGAATCATTCATACCCTACAACAAGGTCAAGACAGCCCCTAGTGTCGACTTAAGCGGTACTATTGATAAAAATAAACCACATTTCACCTTCTTGCTCCCCACCCGCCTCGGAGTGCCAACTTGTGCGATGCTTGTGTACGACGGTTCTCTAACAGTTTAGGAAAAAGGGGCCTGAAACAATACTTTATTTAATACTTTGTATAAATTGCTTATTTCTTGACCAATTTCAATGTGGTTTTTAATTCAAAGTTTTGAATTCTTGGGGTTCTTTAATATGCTGAATCTAACACAGTATTTAGATTTTGGATTTTGGGGCCTGTTTTTGAATTGGTCCACATTGAGGTCCAAAAGGTCCAAAATCAAACTTTGTTTGATTTCATCAAAATTGAATTATTGGGGTTCTTTGATATGCTTGATTCTAACCATGTATTTAGAATTTGGATATTGGACCATAATAGGTAAATGTTCAATTTCAAATTTTTTAGTTCTTAGTTTTCATGCATACCAGTATCAAAATAATGGATTTATATATAAATACTACATGTATAAGTTTTTCAATATTCAGATCCAGTTAGAGTAGTTTTAAATGCATACAAATTTCATTAAAATGTGAAATACTAATTAAATATGTTTGCATACATTGGCCTTAAATCTGATAAAGGAGAAAAACTAGCATACTACATATTTTGATATTAAATGCAAACAAACTTCCAGAAAAACTAATTATAAAAATGATATTAATTGATTATACAGCTTCACTTGAAACCAATTAACCAAATTTTCTTCCACACAGTCAATTCTAATTTAATTTTGTCAAGCGCTATTAATTTTTGTCAGGTATTGAAATAAGATTGCTCAGATTGAACTAAGGTAATTGTAAGGTAATATAACCAGAATCAGGCTGTCTAACCTGAATCATATTGATTTCAAACATTTTTTGATAGCTCCTGAAATTTAAAATATATTGATTAGGTGCAAGAAAATTATTTAGCACATTTATGCATTTTGCTGGTAATCATGAAATGTTATGAAATGATAAAAGAACTTACGAATGATTTTGTAAGTTGTAGCAGATTTTTCCAAGATTTTCTATTGGAGATTCTTTAAATATTTATAAGTGATTCATATAAATTTGTAACTAGTATTACAATGCTGTATTGTATTTTGAATGTTTTAGAATACGCATGGTAAAGATGGGGGATGACATTATTTACAATTTTTAACCAAAGTCTTAATTGTTTTATACATTTCAGTTAATGGACATGAAGATATTTGTAGATACAGATTCTGATGTACGGCTGGCACGACGATTGAAGCGTGACATAGCTGAACGAGGAAGAGAACTAGAGGGTGTTCTCAAGCAGTATAATACATTTGTAAAGCCAGCCTTTGATCATTGGATTTCTCCTACAATGTCATGTGCAGATATAATTGTACCCAGAGGTATCATTATAACACATTGATCCGTGCCACTTACGTATGGGAAATGGGGATTGAAACTCAATGCTTTGCTTAATAAGAGACCCAAATGGTCAAATTATTGTGTTTGATTTTTGTCTCGCCTTGACAGAGTCAAAAAGCAAGACATAGGTATGCTGTTTTCGGCGGCGTCAACAATGTATTAGTTTGTGATTAGGTCAGTTTATGGGGAACCACTAATGTTAAGTCAATGATATTTGGTACGCAAATGTATTGGCATTTGCAAGTCTCGTTTCCATGGAGATTATATAACCCCACCCCCTCATCATGGTTCATTGATTTTGAAAACTTTTACATAGTTTTCAAGTCAATGTTTGTTGAAAGGGAACGACTTATGATAAGTCAATGGTATTTGGTATGCAGTTGTATTAGCATTGGCACATCTCATTTCCATGGAGATTGTTTTGCCATGTACCTTCAGTCGTGGTTCATTGACTTTGAATATTTGCATAACTTACATGTTAAAGTATTGCTATTTTAATTTCAACATTTGCATTATCAAAAGTACTAAAAGGTGAGACATATCTCTATGTTAACAGTTTATGAATGTTTACCATAAGATTGATTTTAAATCATTTGAAATATAGCACTTACCATTTATGTGAAATAAGGTTCAAACAGGTGTCAAAACTCAAGGTTAGATTCTTTTTTATATTTTCAATGTTGATGCTTCTAGGTTTTTTCCTTTAAATTCCATATAACATTCCCAGCCTAGAAATGATTAATTAGATTTTGCCTAGGTCTTACATTTCTTAGGTAAAAGGTGTTAATTGCACTGAAAGGAAAAATGTCTATATTGTAACTTTTAGTTCATCTGGCCCAAATGACCAGTGTGAACTTAAGTTAAATGATATATATTTGTGATCCCATTTAAGAATTATGTTGACAACCCCTACTGCCTTCAAACATGCTACTCTGGATAAATGAAACTAAAAATTCAATAAAAATTCTAATGCATCTTGTTAACAGGAGTTGTGTGATATATGTTCCTAATTGATTTGACATTACTTTGCTAACAGGAGGAGAGAATATTGTTGCTATTCAGTTGGTTGTGTTGCATGTCCATGGTCAGTTACAAAAGGTAAGAACAAAGATTTTTCTGTTCTTACAAAACAAAGAAAAAGATTAAATGAATTGAATGTAAAATATGGAATTAATGTGCACGAACAGTAGAAAATGCTTCTGTCCTTATAAAAACAAAGGGAAACATTTAATTGGATTGAATGTAAACATATGGAGTTGATGTAATATTTCCAATGTGAAAGCTATTTAACTAAATACAATTGGGGAGAAAATCAAAAAAAAATTTGAAAGTCATCTTACAATGAGCAGTGACTCTTACACTATGATCAGGCTATTAGAGACACATCAAACTCAAATGTGAAACAGTTCAAAAGTAGTGACCAACCATTCTAAATACATCTTTATAAACATGAAAAACAAAAGGACAATGATTGATTGATTGAATGATTGTTGTTTGCAAAAGGACAACACAACCCCTCAAGTATATGTTTGCATTCATCACATTTTGAATAGAAATGATAGAGTCAGTTGAGTATAAACATAATAAACCTTGTGAGATTGAAGTAAATATTGGATTATAAAATATGGAAACATTGTCATGTTTTATTGATAAATTTGATTTCAGAGAGGTTTCAAGTTGAGGTCCAAACTGGCACATTCTGCAGACAATGGTTGTAAGAAACCAGATACACTGTTTGTATTAGAACAAACCCCACAGATTCAGGGATTACACACATTTGTAAGGTAGGTCATTAGAACAAACTCCACAGATTCAGGGATTACACACATTTGTAAGGTAGGTCATTAGAACAAACCCCACAGATTCAGGGATTACACACATTTGTAAGGTAGGTCATTAGAACAAACCCCAGAGATTCAGGGATTACACACATTTGTAAGGAAGGTCATTAGAACAAACCCCAGAGATTCAGGGATTACACACATTTGTAAGGTAGGTCTTCAAAACAATACTTAGATTGACATATTGACATTATATGTCCTTCGACCATTTTTGAGATTGACAATTAAAAAAAACAAACAGAAATGGAAAGAAAATGTCAAGGAATAATTTTTTGCATGACTGATCATTACAGGATTGTTGTCCAGTCATTCAGCAAACCTTTTAGCCTGTCAAGGCATTTAATATAGTTTTTTATTTTGTTGGTACTGTAATCATCTTTTTATTTTTTGTATATGAATGTGAGATATGAGGCAACAGGAGTTTACTGACGTTCGTTCCTTTTTACAAGCTATCTGATTAAAATAAAATAGCTTATAAAGCTATCTTTTTGATTTTCAAATATGTTGAGCCTCGGAAAAACTCCATAGTCTTATTGACACATGGCAAATATATACTTACATCTTACAGGAATAGAGAGACTCCACGAGATGAATTCATATTTTATTCTAAAAGACTAATGCGGTTGTTGTTTGAGTATGCTGTTTCTTTATTACCTTTTAAAGTAAGTGAATATGCTGTTTCATTTTTAAATAAAAGTTTTATTATTGACTTCCTTGGTGTGATCGCCTGATACTACAGGAGGTTGTGAATTTGATTCCATACAAGGTAAAATCAATGACTTTGAAATTGATATTTACACTTTCTCTTCTAAAGCAGTCTGTATTCACGAATGTGGGCAAAATTTGGCTCAGAAGCAGCGGTGGTAGGGTGACATTTGTTTCTGCGAGTGAGTTTTGTATACCTTAAATCCTGCTATGGATATCCAAAACAAATTAGAGTTCATATATATATATATACAAGTCTAAATTGAAAACAACGTTCAAACCTATGATTGCGTTGAATAAAAACCGCAATTTTTATATGTGTGCATGCAAAACAAATTTCTTGTTAGAGGGGTCTAAATACAGCACAAACAACATTTTCCAAAAGACCAAAAAAGTGAAAAAGTATATTTTAACAAAACGCATTTGACTAACAGGTCGAACAACAAATGTTCTTAAACCCTGCTGGCTGCCATTGGCGATTGCCAAATAAACGGATCACCGATGTAATAAATGGATCTTAATTATGAATTTGATACTTAATAGAAAACAATAAACTTGCAGAAAAGATGATATACCGCAAACAAAAGGTGCAAAGATTTTTGTACACCATATCCAGATTTCGACAATTAAATGTCTCTTCAGTGATGTTAGGAATCGAAACGGTATTTGGAAAGCCATACAATTTGCCTCAATTTAGGATAGACTCTTGAATTTGAGGAGTCAAAATAGGATGAACGGATCATATAAACCCAAAGGCAAATATAATACAAGCCCAAACGAAAAAATATAAACAAGTCTAAATTGAAAACATCGTTCAAACCTATGATTGCGTTGGATAAAAACCGCAATTTTTATACGTGTGCATGTAAAACAAATTTCTTGATATATATATATATATATATATGTGTGAGTTTCTCATGTCCATCTGACATCTAATTTAATCTAGCTCTATTAAAATTCTGTGGTTGTTTTCTTTCTAAATTACATTTGATCATCCAATCCAACATTCAAAATGGCCTCTGCTGCAGAACGTCAGTTAACATTGAACCAATGTGGAGTTTACATTATTGCCTTTGAAAACCACTTCAATAAATCAATATGAAGCATTTGACCTATTTAGAGTGAATTTGACTGTTTTAATTATTCATAGGGCATATGGTTCCTTTCCAGTATTCTAATTGTCCATAAACCATCCATAATGTTCAGAAACAATGATCAGAATCAAGAACAAGAAAAACATGAAAATAAAACCTTGCAAACATGTTCAGCCCCTGAAATCTTCTAAGTTTTAGTTAACTGACATCTTTTGTAAAGTTTACAAACAAATAGTCCTTCTAACCTTTCTTATGTTGTATACTACATTTATTGGTAGACTGTCAGTGTAGATACACCACAAGGAACCACATATCATGGGAGACGATTAGATGCTGACAAGGTGAGTAAAGTCTTTAGAAATGCACATGTTTAATAATACTTTCAGGACTAAAACGGACATCTTCAACCAAGCAAATTCATACTTTTTGATATTGCACAAAACTGTATTCAAGTATTATCTAGAAATGTCTGTAGTGTGGGATATATATTTCTGTATATCTTATGGGGCAAATTTATACAATTCAAATAATTGATATGCAGAAAAAATGTATACCTTTTACACTGTCGGCTTCATTAATGTGATGGGATTCAATAAGGTGATGGGGAAGGTTATTTTAAGCATGTAATGGTGCAACAGTTATTTGCAATAAGTATAATCAAGAATATTCATTACAGTTTTTTCTTCAATTTTCCTTGAAAAACCTTTTACTTATTTTATTTTTTTCATACAAATCTTTCAAACACTGGTTAAAGAAAATTCTTAAAGTTAAATTTCTAATTGTCTTATTGAATAGATACTGCAGCAAAAGTTTAATTTTCTTTTCAATTTATGCATTTGCCTATAAATTCTATTAAGACAAACTGGCTTAATAAGTTGGAGATTTCCTATTCTCAATATTTTCAGAAAACATTAGGCTATGGTCAAAAGTATTTTGAGAAGATTTTTAGATAAAGTATTGTAATAGATGAAATACTATGCAGTGCTGAATAGTGCCAATAATATTTTATAATCATTGCATGTATTTCTAGAACTCTAGTCCAATGGTAAGCATATGTGTAAGGTTTTCCTTTAACCGTGCTTTTTCTCCTCTTATAACTTTTATTTCCTCTAAAGACAAATAGATAGATGCAGAGGTTTCCAGGTCTTCTATTCATAAATATTTTCTGTATAAATGTCTTTCTAATTACAAAATTGATGGTAATTAGTCACTAGTTTATACTTACTCAAAGTATTTGTCCTGTATTGAAAAGTTTGGAAATAACATTTAAGAAATAGTCCATTATTTACTGTCAAGGACAGCAGATGATGTCCAGGTTTAAGACATTTGATTTTTTTTAAGGAATTATTGAAATAAGAATAAAAATGCCCAGAAACTGAGATTTAAAAAAACGAAGTCCTCTTGAAAGGTATTTTTAATCACTTAGTTTTGTACAACTTCTGTACTTATGATTATTTGGTATTTTTGCAGGAGGTATGTAAAAGAAGATTTGAAACTTTAAAAAAAACGCTTCAGAACAGGTAGTGTTGAAGTTTAGTCGTCAAATAGTTTACCAGTTGAAGTAGAAAATTCCTTGTTGTTCCCTTTTATAGCTTTAGCTTGTAACAGGTAACAAGTTATTAACAACTTTTGGTGTGCTATTATGGCCAACCATATTGTATTGTTACTTAAAAAGGGGAATTTTGACAAACTTATAAACAAGGGTTTCCAAAATTGTCAAATTATCTAAACTTGTCCAATTTTTATGTCACTACTCCAGATTTAAAGATAATGCAGAGTTCTGAACTGAAGGCAATTAATAAAATCATAGATGTGTTTGAGGATGTGTAAATGACTAGCAGAAAGTATAAAACTCCATTTAATCATCTACTTCTAACTTTTGACATGTTGTTTGCAACTAAACAAAATAAAGAAAGTGGTTGAACAGTGACTAAATTTAAATAAATACACTTACATTTATGGTACCTGTGTAAATAGGAATTTACTTAATATCAGACTTGATGATTTGATTTGAAAAGGTTTTAAGATATCATATTGAAACAGTTGATAAAAATTGTGCACATACACTCAGGTGCATTCAAAAGCTTATTATAGCTTGTGCTTGTAACAATATTAATATTAGTTAAAATTCAAAAGTTCTTTGAGAGAAATATTTACAGAACAATGTGTGAAACTTTATGATCGGAAAGTCTTCAGAAGAAATAAATAGGTTTTATCAGTTATCTTATATTTTTTCCAAGTTTAAGCATGAAGAAAAATTGAAAAAACTACATTTTGAGGATGTTTGACAAAATTTACGCAGGTTTCATTATATTGTCACTGTTCTGAGTTTTATCATGAGAAAGTCAACACCTAGTATCTCAAACTTAGTCTTCTTATGGTCAACATTTCAAGGGATGCACTGTCAGTTAATGTGCCTTGTAGCAAAGTAGGAGATTACCGTTTTCTTATGTTATGACCAAATTCCAGGCCATTGATCTCTCTGTGGTTACCATGTTTGGCTGGAATTTTTGATAATTTCCTGTCTATTAATGACTAAAGGTCCACAAAAATGCATGTTTTTTCTTTGTACTTAACCAGATTTTGATTCACTGCCACAAGTTTTTCTTGAGTATATGGATATACCTTTGTCTACCTTTTCATCAGATTAGTTTTATGATTAAGTCTGTGTCTTAGAAACCCACCACGATGTTTTCGTGATTGATCCAAAACATTTGAGTCACTAAAAATTGAACTAATCAGTTATGTATACGTTTAATGATTGTATTAACTATGGAAACCTCTGCACATGATTGCTGTTATTTATAGCATTGATATATTAAACAGGAGTTTGTATGAGAGTTTAGCTGTGAATAGATATTTTGTTTGATTTGTTGACGGTTTTTCCAAAGTAAATCTTAAAAAAATAGTACTTTTTGTCTTCAGATATTCATTTTATTCTAGTGAACAACTAGTAAATTTTCAAACTACATTTCTTTAAGATTTCTTTACTGGAAAATCCTCTAAGCTAAAACACTTGTTTCACAACTTGTGTCACATCGATTTTGTTGTGTTGTGAAGCAGGTTTGACTTATGCCAGACTGCAGGCTGAATTGTTTAATTTTTCTTGCATAGCATTCATGCACTCGATGTTTTTATAGTGCTTTTACACATCACATACATGTATATTTTTTGTTTTCAGTTAAATGATGATATCTTGTAGATAAATCAGCAAATTTTAGTAATAGTTTTAAATGTACATATATTATTTTATTAAAAAACAAAACATGGAACATATATTTTTAGGTGTTTGTCATTGCTTTATTGTTCATTTAATTGAATTTTCTTGTACAGATTAACATTGGAACCAGGCTAACAATTCACTAAGTGACCAATAGTCATAAGATTAATCACATTCTCTGATGTTTTTTTCAGATGATAATTAACAGATATATATTTTTCTTTTAGTGATATTTTTGTGAGCAAGGTGTTCTTTTTGTAGATGAAGGGTTCATAGTTCTGATTGAGAAAAAAAAATGCATGATTATACCAATATTTTCCTACTAAAGTATCGCATTTATTTCTTGTGTATGTGCTAATAATCTCATAGTTGTTGTATGCTATGAGCTGTTTTCTAACCTGAAAATTTTCACAGTATACTTGTCTGTCTTATTTATTTTAAAAAGGACAAGGTCTTTTTGCAATATACAAATTCATTAACACTTGTAATTTACTTGTAGCCCAAACTTTTAGCTATTACCACCAAGAAAAGACTTTTGGTATATACACTTCCTGTAGCACTATGAGATCTTCTCATAATAATCCATATAGTCATAATACACTCAAAGAGCAAGATTTTTATACACAAAAATTATATATTTTAATAAAATTTCAATGCTGTTTTTCTTCAATGTAAATCACATACATGTACAACGACATAAAGAGTTATAAATAGTTTTGATTGACCTTTCCCTCATTTAGGTTCCATCGAGTTGGAAAGATATCAATCTTAAATAATTTAATGGTGAATAATTTAATGACGTGATAAGTAAACAGTAATGGAAACATGCATCTGTTAGGAGATTTAATTTTTCTCTTGTATGTCTGTAATACTTTTTCTGAATGATACCTGAATAGTATTCTATTGTTCTTGCCTTACAAAAGCATCGTTAATTTTGTCAGATTTGTGGAGTATCAATCTTGAGAGCTGGAGAAACAATGGAACAAGCCTTATGTGAAGTTTGTAAAGATGTGCGTCTTGGTAAAATACTCATACAGACAAACTTTGATACAGGAGAACCAGAGGTAGGCATTTAGGCTATGTCAAAATTATGTACAAGGTAACAGGAGAACCATGGCAAAATGTGATAGAAGAGAAAACCAACATTCTGTTTTCTGCTGAAAAACAACAAACAAAAAACAAATATGTCAGTCAATAACAAAGGAAATAAGTTTATTCAAAGGTACAGTCAAACTTCCAAACCAAATCTTTGTACAAATGTATCTTTGAAAGTAAAGGTAATTATTAATTTGTAGTAAATAATGAACCAGTTATTGTATACATAAATTACCTTCATTAAAATACAAAAGTCACTACAAACACAGGCATAGTGAATGAGTTGGAAAATATACACACTGAAAGATGGGACCAATGGAACATCAACATCCAAAAAGGAAAATTTACAATAGAGAAGGAAAAATTGTCTCTTTTCAAGATATTTGGATATAAAAGCATTACAATTAAAAGTTTATATATCAAACCTTCTTGTAGTTGCATTACCTGAGGTTGCCAAAGGACATAAAAGAAAGTCAGGTGATTTTAATGGATGCCACTGTGGCCACAGGAGCAGCTGCCATGATGGCTATACGTGTTCTTCTGGACCATGATGTTCCGGAGGAAAATATTACTTTGACGTCTTTATTGATGGCTGAATCTGGTATGTTAATCTTGGTAATCATTATATATGATGAAACAAATGCACAAGCTGAAAAGTCTTGTCTACATAATTGATTTGAAGAGGTTGCTATGTTGAATCTTTGAGATAAAGGTCTTACTACATGTAACAAGAAAACTTTGACTATGAAAATGATGTCATGGCCAGATGACATTGTCAGACAGACATATTCACATATGACAATCATTTTTTTGCAAAATTCTTTGCCATTGGTTTTCTAGTGAGTGCCTTTGGTACCCATAGTCAAAAGGGATTAAAAAACATGATTGAAAAGTTCTCCAGCTGGCTTGAAATATTTTGAAAACCCAGTGTTTCATTGGTGAGTTTTGGGAATTGTCATTTTCATTTTTTTTTCAAGTTTAGGGAAGAAATGAAGTGTTACTTTGAATATATTTTATACTGAAGATTCTTTTGATATTCACAAGTTAATTATCCTGGGTTTTTTTTCTGTCCATGGGTAATAGTAACAAGTGCATCAATGTCTGGTGCAGATAGTTCAGTGGATCCCCATAAGTTCTGACTATTTGTACAGTCATTAATTTGGTTTTGACTGGTTGGTTTATTTACTCCACTTTTTTTTTATTCAGATGATAAATTGTACCAAAAACATTACTGTTTTCTATGGGTATAAAGTCCCTTATTTGGCAGTACAGAATTCCTGTTCCTCACAGCCGGTTAAATTTTTTATGCCCCCGACGCTAGGTGAAGGGACATTAAGTATTACCCTTGACTGTCTGTCCCAAAAGTATTTTCACATATTTTAAGCAAGCTTGAGCGGGGGCATTCATGTCCTCAGACGCATTCTTCTTTTATTTATTGTTAGGGAACTGAAGAAAAGCAACTTGATAAGATGCATTCATGAACATGAACTATTATTGATATTTATTTATTTATAAAGTTTTACCTATGGGCCAAGTGGGCTATTGCCATTACTAAGTGTCCATCTCCATTGTCATCTATGTTAACTTTTTCCCCACTGAAATTTCAACCAAACTTGGGCTAAATGATACTAGGGGTATATAGTATAAAGTTTGTGTTTTTTATGTCTGTCTCTCAACAAATATGGCCACCATGGTTAAAAAATGAACATATGGGTAAAATGCATTTATTGTCTTATATCATGAAAACCATAAAAGATGGAAGAAAATCTCAAAATGTCAATATCTAACTACTTTCTATTTTCATGAAAATTTTCAGATGAATCCTTGAAGGAGTTATTGCCTTTAAAAGACAATGTTTGACTAAGTTTTACTTGTTATTGTTTGAAATATGACAGACTATTGGTTGATATCTGACAGACTAGTGAAAGAAACATTGTCCATTGTTGGTAATAAATGATAGTATTTGATATTTGTAGGTGTTCACTCAGTTGCCTATGCCTTTCCTAAGATTAAGTAATATATGATTGTATTTGATATTTGTAGGTGTTCACTCAGTTGCCTATGCCTTTCCTAAGGTTAAGATTGTCACAACAGCTGTTGATAAAGAAGTAAATGAAAAATTCCATATTCTGCCTGGAATAGGTATGTAAACTATGTTGTCATTATTTACCCAAGAAGTGACCTCCATGTAAGATCTTGACGGGTAAAAGCCGCTATCATTTATACTCAGTAAATGATAGCGGTTTTTACTTATGTATGCATGTAATAATCATGCAAATCCATTATGTGCATGATTATTACATGCATACATAAGTATCTCCCTCCAAAGCTGTCAAATGGGATATTGAAAAATAAGATGTGGTATGATTTCAAATGAGACAACTATCTGCTAATGACCAAAGTACTACAAACATATATATAGTAATAGACTCGGTCCTTCAATTTTCTTTCCATCTCAACCTCAATTGTTGACGAAGGTATAGAAATAGGGTTACATTGACTTTTCCCATCCTGTAGTTAATATTCAATGTTCAGGGGCATCCATTTTGCTGTGCTGGATGTATAAATATGCAGCCATGTCCAATTTGAAAAGGGATGTTAAATCAGATGCCTTGTGTAAGGTGCCATACTCTATGAAAATTTAAGAACCCTAGCAACAAATCTTTTGAGGATGCTTAGTCAGCCTATTGCCAGGCAAAATATCTGCTCCTATCCAGCATACACTCCTTTTTCAGTTTCAGTCCAAATGTCTTGACTTTCAACCTGGTCAAGCCATTTTTGCAGAATGTACACAATGTATAAAATTTAGAATTATTTTGTTTGCGTCTTATATATGTAAGACTCAGATCGACGTCCAGTCTCTAATCGACGTCCGTTCCTCAAATTGACGTCCAAATTTGACGTCACAATAAAATTACATTCCAAATCAACGGCCAATTTTATGCCCCTCTAATCAACGTCTTTTTTGTTGTTCTCAAATCAACGTCCAAGTTTTGACTTCTCTTATCGACGTTCGTTTTATGGACTTGTCGCAGTGATATCACAACTTTATTAAAGGGTTGGTTGAACCTAAAACTCAAAAAGTTGTTGAAAAATCTAAGTCCAATTAATAATACTTTTCAACAATTGGCTGTAAGTTTTTATTCTTTCTATTGTTAGAGTCTGTATACTGCCCTCTAGATGTCTTTGATTATCTTTGTTTTTATGTTGTTGACTCATTTTCGTCCAATGTATACCCACATCTCATTTAGTTATATGAAAAAATTTTTGTGATTCATTACATCACATTGGACATCGATTAGAGGGTTAAAATATTGGAGATTGAGAACGTGACGTCTGATTTGGACGTCGATTTGAGGAACTGACGTCAATTAGAGGTCGGACCTCGATCTGAGTCTAACATATATATGCATAAAATATTTGCCACTGTCATAAATCAACAACAAATCAGTTGTTTGGTCTGGAAATGAAACACAGTTACTGAAAGCTAGTTCAAAGCCAATAACTACTAATAAAAAATCAAGTCTAAGCATCTTTAGATTAGTTTACAATGAACCTATCTTCACTAAATAATTTTGAGGAAAATCTTGTTTTTATGTTGAAGAAAGTGGATTTTAAAAAGTTTTGATATATGCAAATAAGTAAAGATTTCTTGTGGATTTAACACTTTACAGTGCTTTTATTCATGTTATTTTATTTGTAAAGGTTGGTACACTTCAATTCATTTAAGAATCAAATTCAAATTGTGCAAGTTTACAGTGATATGAATGCAAGTTATATAACTCAGTTGTTCATAAAGTACATAGTGCTTCTTAAAACTTAGAAAATATGTCTTTGGTAAAGACTAATAATATTTAGTAAATATAACAAATATAGAATAATATTATTTATTGATATAAGTATTGCAGATATTCCTGTTGTTGCAATGAATTGATATCGGCACATGCTTCAGTATGGTAGTTTTTTTAATACATAGTCCCGATTTTCCCATAAAATTTCATTATTTTTTTACCTGTAATTTCAAAAAGTGGGACAATCGGGAAGGCACCATTTTAATACAATTCAGAAGATTATAAAACACTGCCTTTCGTGTGTTTAAGCATTTATAATGATGCAGAGTAAAAGAAATAAAGACTTGCTGCAAATATTATCATATACTGTAGTGCATGATCTTAACAGATGCTTTGATCTTAAAAGTATTTATTTTCCAGGGAACTTTGGAGACAGATACTTTGGAACAGACTTTGAAAAGCTAGTACAGGTAGACAGGACTCAGATGACAAGATGTTATTCAGAACCTGGATGTCGTGATGTAGAACAAGCAGAATAATATAGAGAAGATTGTACAAAATAAATCATTCCTGCTGACATTTCAGGATAGCTAGGATTTTAATGTTTTATTGGTTGTCTCCAGTCCTTGTATTTTTATGTACTGGTAGCTTGACTTGGCATTATCATTTCTCATTCTTTTTATTTTAGATTTTATTAATGAAGGAATTCTATATGCAATATCATTTAAAAAATATCATGATAGTTGAAATGCTACCTGATTTAACAAATAATGCATACAGTTTGTCTGTTCTAAATTAAAGTTTATCACGGAAAAGGGTTAACAATCTTTAAAAAATTCTGAACAATTTGTTCTTTGGTGTACCTTGAATATCCTGGTGCTATGTTATGGTGATATATATATATTTAGAATCTCCTTTTTATTTCATTTATTTTAAGATTTTTTATTTTTTTATTTTATAATTAAAATTATTCTGCAATTGGGTAGACTTCTACCAGCATTAAAGAATTAATATTTGTGGGGGGAAAAAGTTTTGATGTAGAAAATGCACTGAACAAAGTTTTTAATCACTTTTTACATTATGATTAATTGCACCAGTTAAAAATGCAAGAAATGGTTTGATACAAAAAGTAATTGGTAATATAATGTAATCAAATGAAAAAATACTCTTGATATGAACAAAGAATTTAATATATCAACAAAAGTTGACTAAGATGATCTCAGAAATTTACTATTGTTTACCTCCTGGAGTAGATGCCTAAGTCTGTCTGTCTGTTCTCAGAAGCTAAAAGACATACAGCATGACTTTAGGTGTTTAGAAGCCATTTTGACCATTTGTCACATGATTTGAGTTAATAGGAAAATAAGGAGATGTGTTATGATTGCCAATGAGAGAACTATCCACCAGAGACAAAGTGGCATAGAAGGAGATGTGTAATGATTGCCAATGAGAGAACTATCCACCAGTGACAAAGTGTCATAGAAGGAGATGTGTTATGATTGCCAATGAGAGAACTATCCACCAGAGACAAAGTGGCATAGATGTAAGCAACTATAGATCCCATTCTCATATACTAAATGACCTTTAATTGTATAACTTGTTGGACTTATATTTTTACACTTAATTGACATTAAGTTTACATCCATATTTTTACACTTAACTGACATTAAGTTTACCTCCAAGTTCTGATCTTAGGTAATTAGTAGCTGACAGTCATATAATCAGCACATCTAGCACATCTAGCAGAGTTAACAGCTCAAACTAAAAGAATATTTAACCATTTACTGACTTATAGTATGTTTAATGCCTTAATTCAGATCTCAGATACTTAATAACCTACATAAGTGTAAGGGGAGAACTGTAAACCAAATTATTTTAATAGATACAGAATCTCTCAAAAGGTATGTAACTCTGACATACAATATATATAAGTTTTACAGCAGATACTAAGTAAACTATAATATTCCAATTATGTGTAATAATGGATCTGGGAGAGAGTAGAATCCCACACAAAGATGGTAACTGTCTGTGACCTAAATTTTAGAGTTCACTTTACTTATATTTTAGTTCAAATGTCTATTACAAAGTGATGTATATTATATGATTGGATGTATCTGTGCAATTAGAGGAGTTTAGCAATAGCCCACAATAAAGTAGATCACTTTGTCCTTTACTTTGCACAATCCTTTTCATATTGAAGTAAAATTATTCAAACTTATAGTATTACTTATAGTATTATATTTGTCATATGTTACATTAACAATTAATGTTAATTTCTTTTATTGTTTTTTGTTTCAGAATAAGATTTCTGCATTTAGTATCTATTGTATAATATGTAGTCATATGAGCCACATTCCCTCGCTCATGCTCCAATGACTTTGTAATTTTCACTATTTTTCATTAGATAATTTTTTGAGAAAAACTTTATGAAAGAACTTTGACATATATATATATTTAGTGCCAGTAGTTGCATCCATGCAGTTCATGTCAAACACTAAAAAATATTTTCCCTTTATTAATCCATCATAGACTTCAAGCATGTTATTTTATACATATCCTTTGTAAGTTGTACCCACTAGGGATATGGTACGCTATATCAAACTGAGGCTAAGCAAGCAAGGCATATCTCTATGTTGATAGTAATTTTTTTAATATCTGCTTTTTAGTGAAAATTATGCTAGCCATATTTTATAGTACATTTTTTCTTGCAGTGTTTGATCAAGCTGACTACATAGTAGAGTACAATATTTGAATTGAAGGTTTTGTAAATATTTACACTTTAATACTTAGTATATTAAAATAATGTCCGACCATTTTATTGGATCAAAATTTTAAAGAAGTTAATTTTTTTACATAAATTTACTGTATACATGTTTGTGTGTGTGTATGTGGTTTTGGTTTTTTGTTTTGTTTTTTTTTTGGAGAAGGGGTATCTTTACATGGATCCCCCATCATCCGTTCTTGATCTTTTTTAAGGGGTAATTTTTGAGTAAGCATTTCATATAGTGTATTTTCATACTGATACCTCTTTACTGGTTTAAAATTATTATTTCTATTAATAATGTTCTGACTTCAAGATGAATATCAAATAGTAAATGTAAAAGAAACCAGAAATAAAAAATCTAGCTTTTATTCCTGCTATCTGATCTATTATGAAATGAAGAATTGTAAAAATTGCTACATCTTAATGTCCATATGCACTGTAGGTGATTCTCCGAAGCTATCTCTTAATGTTCTTTAAAGAATTTGGTGTTGATGGAGTTGAATGTTAATCTCTGTCAAATGAATCACAACATGTCTACTAGACTGACAGAGATTCAAATCTTGAAATATAATATATTCATTTGTTTCTTGTCATTTCTATCTTTATGTAACTGTAAAATGTTGAGTATCCCAGCACTCCAAAAAAAAAAATCATTTGATTGTTATGCTTTATAATTTTTGTATAACATATGTCTTTTTTTTTTTATAAATTTGATGTGCTCAATCATCTTATCAAATTAATAATATTCTTGAACTAGTCTGAGGCTTTAATCTCAATTATAAAATCCATTCATTCTACTTGACAATGTTATTTTTGCTAGAATAACATCAATTTTGTTTGAATCTTATGTATTGAAGTAAAGTCTTTAAAACAGTATACATTGTCAGTTTTATGTAGCTTTTAAATACACATGTTACCATAAGTTGATTTATGACTGTTAAATATGAAATGATAGGTTTTATCAAAGTTACAATAAAAAGTCGATTCCTATGTCATATTTCCTTATTTAGATATGTGGACTGTTATCAGAGACAATAGTATGTACTACTCAAAGAAAGTTTTATAATGGGGTCAAACTGTAAAGGTTCATATTTTTATAGATAATGCTCAAACTGATCTGAAATTAACAGCATTCCTGTTTTAAAGGATGTTGAATTGATTAAAAAGAAGACTAAAACAATATGTTAAAAATTTGGGGGTAAAAAAATGCCCCTCCCTATTAAAATAAAATGTTTTGCAAGGGAAATGTTAATTTTTGTTCATATTTAATCAAGTATGCCATCAGATTCATCACTTTATCAAGTGTGCTTGTAATATGCATTATTTAACTAGACCATGTGCAAAAAATCGTTAAAATTGTGACTTTCAATTTTGACCCCTTCCCTCAAAGTTTGCAAACAGTGTAACTATATGAAATTTGACAAACATAAATGTAGTACTTTTCAATACACAAATGATTAAAATTAAGAATACACAAACTTGAACGATAAATGGAGGTTTTGTTTTACTTTATTTTCAGTCAGAAGTTGTGTTGCTAAACTTGTTATGAGTAGTATATGTTATATATCCATATAGCAGTATTTGGTATAATTCAATGTTCTTCCAAAGTTTTAATATATTTTTGCCACTTAATGTGATCCTCTCATTTTAAACCAAAATGTCATCATCTTCACTAGTTTTCATTTTGATTGAACATATAAATTGAGGATCATATTTTATCAATTAATATGAAAAGGGAATTCAAAGTATGTTTGTGTGTGTGTTATTTTTGCTGAAGGTGATAGTGTGCTTTACTTATATCCTTCTGGAGACAAGGAAAGCTTAGTTTATATGTATCCTTCAGGAGGCAAGGGAAGCTTAGCTTATATGTATTCTTCTTGAGGTCATGGAAGCTTAGCTTATATGTGTCCTTCTGAAGGTCAAGAGAACTTAGCTAATATGATGTTATTGAAATTTGGTGCAATACAATTGTTAAGTTCTACAATATATCAGTATCTCAATTGCCAAATTAGAAACATAATTTAAGGCCAATAATAGTTTTAGAACCATTAGATAATGTTTTAATTATTAAAGAAATAATTCTTATATGTTATGCTTTATGCTCATTTTAACATTGGTGGGTATTAAATTTGTCAATATCTTTACAATGAGCTACAGTGATGTGTAAAATGTTGACAAATGTAAAGCTGAATCATGCTAAAATGAACATAGAACATATCAACTATATTGGTTCTTACTAATACAAAATTCAGAACTTTTGTACTTCCAAGGAGACCTATAAGACATACTGAAAAGACAGCCATTTTGATTTGACAAAGTAAAACTATTCTTGAAAGTTTACCTTTTCACTATTAAAAAGTTCCAATACAGGAAGATTGACTTTTGAGAATGAGATTTTATTTAATTCTTGGCAAGTAACACCAACAGAAATGTACATTTTAACCTTTGGTGTCATATAAAATTGAACTGACAATTGAATTTTAATTTTGATTGCAATTTAAGAATGTGCACCACATTTTTATTGGAATTAAATCATAACTTTTTTGACGAATGGAAAGAAGAGCATCGTATTATAACATGAAAGATTTTGCTTTCTTTACAAATTACTTGATGTACAGTGTCACTGTCTTAACAATTGACCAAAAATAAGTTTTTTTTTACCATAAACATGGTTCAGTTCTGAGAACCAGGTTTGGAAAAAGGCATTTAACCTCTACCGCTATTAAGTTATTTAAATTAGTGCCTGTCTCAATGTACATAAAGTCAAAAGAAGGGTGTATTTCGTCGTTAATCTTTAGAAATGTTGCAGTATTGACATCTTAGCAAGCCAAGGGTTACGTTTCAGTCCATTCTTTTGTAGGGGAGGGGGCTGGATTGTAACCCCTATCTAGCATAGATGTAGTATTGTAGAATTAAAAGTTTTTATGAGGTAAACCTA